ATTATGAAGATATATTCTTGTGGCTTATGAATATTTTCCTTGCGTCCAGCATTATAATTTCATTTGAAGAAGGAACAGAATTTATTGTACAGAAGGTTAATACATAATATTGATCGAACGTAGTATGATTTCAATCACGTATCACCAGAAAGTTTCACCATAAATACACACTTTCAGTGAAATATAAACCTGTCGTAATGATTCCAGATTTTTAATTCCTAATTATAACAATTATCAAAACAGCTGATTATTTTCTGGAACATTTATATTATATTCTTCGTTAATGTAAAATTAAGATAGAACGCTTCTAATGAATTAATATCACTAACGAACCTTCTTCAAGATTTTATAAAAGCAAAAAGGAATTGACCGTGGTAAAGAAACAGAAAGTTAAAAAATCCGATAGAACGTGGTATCTAGAGCTATACAAGAAACACCGTTATCTTTCAACGCAATAACGCTCGATTACCCCTTTCAAGGCAGAGAAAATTACATCGATTCAGCCAGAATAGTTTCCTAATGATGCCACCTTTTTTCTCGATTTGTATTTCCCAGAAAGCAAAGGGCCATATACGAAATCTTGCAATTTTTCTCACTTTGGCCCCATTAATTTTTAATATTTAACACTATAAAACAAAAGTGTTCTTACCAAGTACGATCCAGATGACGATAATATTCCCTCCAGTGGCTACTAACAGCATGGCAGCGAATACGAGGGACCATGAAAGCTTCTGCCACCATGGGAGATCGAACGGTCGTTCTTGATAATTAAAAATGCAATCGAAAAACGCATCACGTAGCGCGTCGCGTTCGCTCGAGCTGTCTAAAGCATCCCCCAACACGCTGAGTAGCTCGCTGCGATTCAACATCAGCAAGAACGTGACATTGCGATCAAGAACCGCGGCGCTGCAATTGTACAAACCGTGCAGGATCAGGCTATTCATATTCGAGGAGCCAGTTTATATCATCCCTGGCTCAAAGTCTAATCCTCTTGGTCTTCTTAAGGATCATCAACTTCCCTCGATGATTCGCATCGTTCGTTTCAAGGAAACGAAATAGAGAACGAAGAAAGAGTATTTCTTTTTTTCAATTTTTTCAAAGTTCGTGAATTCATCTTTGTTCGTGGGATTTTCTTGCGTCAAAACTTGTAAGCTGTTTGTTCAAGACAGCGGAAGAGAAGCATTACTTACGTTTCGCGTTTTCATGCCGCTCACAAGTGTCTTTGTTAACAGATTATTCTGAAGTTTGCTTTGTTGTTTACCTGGATGCTAGTCGATTTCAAACGAAACCAATCTACCAGCTTCGCTGTAACAACATGCTAGTTTCAATCAACGGGATTGCAGCTTCTGATAATAATTCTCAAACTCTCATTCCACGTGTACAATGGACACACGGTGTTTCATTTCAAAGTAATCAGAAATGTTAGGTTTTGTATGAGTGCTTATGTGCTGCGAATAGTAATCATGCAACTGCTATGAAGAAAATTTAAAATAACTTTTAATCATTGAATATTATTACCGTGAAAATAATTGAATATTGAATAAAAATTATAAATCTTAACAATCTGAAGATAATTTAAGAATTTAATTTGTTAATTAATAGACATTTATTGATCTAAAATTATAAAATAAATCTTCTTAATTAAATTCAGATTTATTTTTATTGTTTATGAAATAATTTTTATGAAGGAAATTAAATAAAATGTAAGGATAAAAGAGAGATTAACCCTTTACGGTCATATATTTGCTCTCAACCGCCACATCACGATTTCGCCACACGTTTATTATCCTGTGTCAACACTTTACGAGAGCAGAAGAAGCTCCAAGCTTTGTTTTGAACGTGGAATAGATAATTCATTTTTTTATCACGAATTTATATAATGTAAAATTATTCAGACCAGTAGGGGATTTTATTAATGTATTGAATTACGAAAGGTATCAAATTATCAAGATACAAAATTACAAAAGCTACCAAGTATTAGAGTACTCAGGTACTAAGATACTAATGTATTAAAATACTAAAATATTAATCAAGCAAAATACTAAATTTGATATGCATTAGACATATGTCCTGAAGCAGTGAATAACAAGTTTTTACACAACTATTCAACAACTCCTAAAATCATGAAGCAAAAAATGAAGGCAATTCTTTTTATTCTTTTGACAGAAGACCAGTAGACATTTTCACATACAAATGTCACCGAAATTGCTACTACAGAAGATTACGTTTAAAAATATGATATCTCATTTGAACAATGCTCCTGTTACTTGGAATTACTTTTTCACTCTAAAATCCATTTCATAAAACTAAAATTATATTCTTCTTCCAAACTGTAAATCTGCGAGATACATTCCAGTTTAGCATGACGTATGAGGTTTCTTCGCAAAGTACACGTTATTTACAATGGTAGATAAAAGAGGAAAAATTCTACTGCAATTCTAACAAAAATGGTAATTATTAAAAATAGAAAATCAAATATTTATTTTAATGAAGGATTGAAACTAATAAAAAAGAATAATTTTCTGCAATTTGTGAAAGCAATTAAAAATCATTTTAAAGTCGATAAAATAATCCCTTTGAACAGTATTAAATTATGTGTAAAAAGTTGTTTATTCAATTGCTAAATTAAAAATGACTTCGATTAAAAACTAATAATAATTAAAAGTAATTGCCTGTAAAATAATAATTAAAAATAATTATCTTAAAAACTTCAATACCTCTTGCAACCAACATCCATTTTCACTGGAGCAATTAAATACTTTTCACAAATTACTTTCAAGAGTCCGATCATCTAGTTCACCAGCAAAATTCCGGAAACGCGTCACAGCGCCAAAGAGCGTTGAAATTGTGTCTTATAAAATCACCGCGCATTACTCTCCATTCATTCGTTACCATTTATTCATAGGAGGACAATACGAATTGGTCTTTGTATACAGAAACCGATTTCCCGTTTATGGACGCTTCCGTTTCGCGAACAACCCGCGAGATCGTTCAATTTTATTGCACAAAAGAACCGCGCTCAATTGCAGGGGATTGCGATCGCAACTGTACCAATCCCAAGAACTGCGAGCGAGCTACTGAAGCTACTTCAAAATCGCATTCATTCAAAGATGCGTGCGCAACGACTTTGCGCCCTCGTGTTCCCTCGCGACACCTTCCTCCCACCCCTTTCGTTGAATGTTTCGTTCAGACACAGGTGTCAGCTGATAAGGTAAATAGAGAGACATTGGCGAAGACCGGCACATTCATTAATTTATGAGAGTCAGACGTGAGTAATAGTAGTTATTCCGAACATTGGTACAACATTATTATATGGTGGAAGAAAAATAAATTTGGCACTGTTGGATGCAGTTAACGAGATTTGTTTGCTGTATAGATATAGAGAAATTGCAGGTGATTTGATAGAATGGTAACAGATGAAGTACAAAGGGACTAAGGTACCAAGGTACCCAATTACTAAAATACAGAGTACCGAGTACCAAGACGCCCAAGTACTAAAATACAGAGTACCAAGTACTGAGACGCCTGAGTACTAAATTACAGAGTACCTTGAATTCTATTTCTCAATACTTGTTGCTTATTTCTTATTATTTATTACTCACTAATGCCGGGTCAATACTTATTGCTTCCTACTGTTTATTCACCACTTCAAGCTGTGTCCTGGGAAACATAGTTCTGGGAAGGAAGATAGGAGGATAGGGCGTCTACCCTTAAACACAGGGTAGTTAAAATTGGGTCAAGTACATTCATATTTCCTAAAATGGATAGGAAAACAGGAACGTGGGAGACATTAAGTACTGGTATTACGGATAATGTCTCTAGTGACTGCCGGAAGTATCGCCGGAATTAACAAATACCGCAGGAACTCGACGGATCGTACATATATTGCCATCTACTGGCAGTCCAATTATACTACATACATAACTCTTCCAAACTAACCTTTCATATTTATCATGTGTTTTTGAATGGTGTAATAAATTTGTTCAAAATGAAGATTAAAAAACGATCCAATGCAATTAGAATTCCACCAATTAAAAAAGCTATAAAAGTTATACGTAAATCATCAGATGGAGAAGAGGAATCAACAGTATCTAAAGCGATACAGAATGTTAAAAAAGTTTTTGAGGTTCGTCGATAAACCTAACCTAACTCGTACACTACTATATTTTGATATACAATCTTAAATGAAATTTATATTTTTAATTATAGAAGAGGAATGCGGAAAAACCGAAGCTGCTCTCAAGTCGAAAAATAATCAAAAAACGTAAGGTATTTGTACCTGTAAAGGAGAAAAAAGTTCGTGAAAGGAAAAGTACAAGAGGAATCGTATACCTGGGTCATATACCGCATGGTTTCTACGAAGAACAAATGACAGAGTATTTCAAACAGTTTGGACAAGTAACCAGAGTACGAGTTACTCGGTCGAGAAATGTAAGTGTATTTTTTAAACATCATGTACCTGTATAATAATTAATGTGTGTTTTTCAGACTGGTAGAAGCCGTGGTTATGGGTATGTGGAATTCATGCATCCAGATGTTGCAAAGATAGCTGCTGAAACAATGAATAATTACCTTATGTGTGGCAGATTATTAAAAGGTATTATATAAAATAATGTTGCTTCAAACAAGTCTCTTAATTGTTTTAATACTTTTCAGCTACATACATACCACCTGAGAAACAGCACATTCGCTATTTTGCTGGTAAACCATGGACAGAGGAGACTTATCCTAAACTAAGAAATAGATCTAGTGTAACTGAAATAAGGAACAAAGATATTGACCACACAAAACATTCAAGTTTTGTACAAAGCACAAAGGATAAATTATCTAACTTAGAAAGAAAATTGAAAGGGAAAGGTTTTGATCTAAAATTTACACCAGTGGATGATACAAAGTCGTAATTAATACATAAATTTTAGTATTACGTTTTTTATTAAGCAAGAACTGAAGAAGTGAATGTAATTAATTACTACTAGCTATATGGTTTTATGTAATACCCTATTTATAGTTACATTTTTATAAAATAATAAAACTTGAAGAAAGCTATGTATCAAGAAACATTGAGCTTTTCTGATCCATTTCCTAATCCAGCTTTGGTCCTCTTCCACTTCATTCGCCTATTTTGAAACCACACCTTTACCTATCAAAATATAAAATATTCTGTAATTAACATGAATTATAGTTGCAATGTCATTATTTGCCATGATGTATCCTGTTGTAAGAATATTAAGAAAAATAAAATTTTGTTACAAATACATATACGTGTCAATTTCAAATCACAAAAAACATAGTAATTTTTCGTACCTGCCGTTCTGTTAAATCCAATGCAACTGCAATTTCATAACGACGTAAACGCGTAAGATAATTGCTGTGTGCGAATTCACATTCAAGGTGTCGAACTTGTTGCTTTGTAAACGCTGTTCTTTCTTTACGAGGCTTATCACCGACCAATCTTTTACTCGTCTCTGAAACATAAAATTTTCAAGACATTAGTAAGTGTTCTATGTGTATTCGAATATAGTTTAGACTTTTCTTGATTAAGAAGAAGGGTAGTGGGACGATCCCCCGCCATCATAGGAAGAACCTAATATGAAATCTCCTGTATTCACAAATTTTATTGAAAATGAATACTTCTTTTATGCCAATCGAAGCATCCTTTTATTCTTTACAAAAAACTATTAAGACACTTGGGCTGAAAATTGACTAGTTCAAAAGATATTTTAGGGAGAGACAGAGAGAGAGCCCAGTGGTCTCTCCCCAAGATATCTTTTAAACTAATCAATTTTTAACCCAGGTGCCTTAATACTTTTTTATAGAGAATTAAAAAACGCTTCCATTGATATATAACAAGGTACATAATTCCATTAAAAAAATTTAGAATTGAAGATATTAACTGAAGATATTAATAAAATTAAATTACCATAATTTAAATTCTAAAGAAATTAAATTTTCTTGACTGAGGATGCTACTAACTGGGCTGCATTACAAATTAGGCACATACCATAAAATTAATATTTTTTTTATATATTCTCAAATTTTCTGAAACTGAAATACCTAAGCAACAATTAAAATATTTCTGCTGTTTGATTTATAATATATTTTCAAATGTTTAGTTGGTCGCTTTAGACATCTGTCCACCCTACTTATTATGTATACCGACTTCTTGCACTCTAGCACTTTAAGGAACAACGCGGTGAGATTTTAAACCGGTGTCAGCTTTTTATTCGCAGACCGGCGGTCAGATGAAAATGGTCGAGCATTCGATGCGTCATTGCCAAGCAGTATCCGCGTCGGTTAATAAACGTGCCGCTCGCATAATGTAGGTTGCTCGAGTCACAGGATCATCTGCGATGATGTATAAAACGTGGTTGGATCGGTAGTGGAGCCCTTAGCCTTGCTTCCGTGCCGCTATCTCATCTCCGCTTGCAGACTGACGTCAATTAAGTCAGCTGCTTTTTCACACAATTTTAATGTCCACTTCATTTTTTTTTTTTTTAATTGAAATTTTGAAAAACAAAGTAATTCACATTTGGGTTATATAACGCATAGCAAAGTCATCATCTATTTTGTACTAGAGAATACGAAATGGGAATAATGCAGTTATGCACTTGATAAACATTTAGACTACACTGACTCTGTTATAGCCACATTGGCGACGGTGAAGACATAAACGTACCCATTACAATTACCGACGTAACAGCATACAAAATTGCAAGGTGTTTGAAAAGATGATCTATTTGAAATTATATAAAAATTCATCAATTTTAAAGAAATGATCAGATCTCATCAAGGACTTTCATCTGCTTAAAATTCTGTTAATGGGGTGTTTTCACCCTTAGGATTATTTTATTATCGAAACAAAAAATTATTTTGTTATTAAAATCATTTGAACTAATTTTTGCAAAATTTCGAATATTTCTTGTTAGCCATATTATTTAGATGGGTTAAAAAAGATTGACATACCATGTTCTCTTTCCATGGAACACGCTTCTTTTTCGAAGGAATCGTTTATTGGATCCTGCCAAGAACAACACTTAATTTCGTTTTCAGTTTTTCCTTCAGCATCTTGGAAAGATGGAATTTCCCAAGCACGAAACACTGTGGTGGTAGTCGTCGTGGTAATTTGACGATCTTGAGTCTTTTCGCAAATGAAATTCAGAGACTGCTCGGACGAATCAAAGTCCATTTTATCCGTTGATCGTTCGATTATATTACATTCGCCATTTTGGTGCGAACACTGCTCCAATCTTGTTATTAAAAGAAGAGATATAAGTTAAACGAAAGAGTATCACGGTTCATAGAACAGTGTAAAATTTAGAAAATGAAATTAGAATTGGGACTCTCTCCATGGTCCGCCGCGCCGTCCGGGGGTTAAATAATTATTGCACAGTAAATAAAAATATAGTTTCTGTTGTTATGTAAAAATAGTAATCACAATATAAAGTGTTTTTTCCTTTAAATTTTATTATTATACCTGTATATTTTATAGTTTCGATTACTGTCGCCATACTGAAAGTTTCCCGTGCAAGATGGTGTCAAATTAGGTTCATTCAAAGGGTTGATCAGAGGTGTAGAATTGCAAGAATTTGAAAAATTATTCCAAGGACATTTAAGATTCCACGAGGAGTCCCAATTTCCAGCAAAATAAGAATTTTGATGAGAAGGTAATATCGAGGAGGTTGGCGAAGTTCCCAAAATATTTTCAGATGATCGTTGATTCGATGATTCTGTGTCTTCGAACCAAGACATCCTGTCTAGAATAAGAAAAATTTAGTATCTTCAAGTGTCAAAATGTTGCAAGATACTTTGATAAAAAATGTAAGAAGTTAATCAAAGAATAGGAAGAGAAGGTTCTTTCATAATTCATAATATTCATAGACACAGATTTAATAACTTTAATCTGAATATTAATATCGAGAACCTATTAAAATTTGAATTTAAATAACCAGGAATTTAATTACATTCAACTCCCTCCTTACCTGATTATTCATAAATTTGATACTGAACACTGTTACTAAAAATGTCCAAAAATATTATTATACAAATACTCAGACTTCGCTGTTGAAAGGTTAACAACTAATATTTTTAATTAACGATTAATATTCGGAATTAAAGTTTGTAGGTGTAAAAACTGTTTTGCACCTACACCTCTATTACCAATAATTACATTACATCACTAATAATACACTATCACGCACTTCTTGTGAATAGCCTTAGCGGCAACTTAGAAATGTCAAACAGGCACATATGATCGTACCGCGATGAACTGGAGGAAGCGTTGGATAGATGCGGTTGGAGAACACAAGATCTTGGAGTTGGAGTAGGGCTGGAAGGACTGACAAATGTTCTCATAAATTCTCCTAGGTTTAACCAATCCGAGCTGATCTGGATCTACATGAAAGAAATGAGTGGTCAGTGTTTGCGAAGCATGGTTTACATTGGGCGGGAGCCATTTTTTTATATTGCTCATGTCTCCTAAACTTTACATTTTTTTTTTAAATGGTACTCCTACAATACGCAAATGATGGCAACTCTAAAAATAAATAAAAATTATAGAATAATTCTATTTTGAAAAAAGAAAAGAAGAACATAATTCTTTGGAATCTTCTGTATAAATCAAAATACAAAAATTATTAATACTTTTTTTGTACCCTAAGTATTTTATAAAAATGTTCATATTTATCATAAGACGATGGCTTATATTCCACCCCCTCTATTGATTCATTCCTGGTCATTAGAATTTCATAACACCTCAGCCATTACCTTGTCAATACTTATGTATATAAATCAATCCAAGTGCCAGCTAAGAAAACACTGAGGAAAAAATGGCGACTGTGAAAATGAACGTTGTTGCTCCTGTTTCTCAAGTCGAGGATCCTCTTCCCGGGGGTCGTTCATTAATCATCAACATTGTTTAGTTTCTTCTTTCGCGTCATTTGTATCGGGTCAGGGGAGGAGCTGGTCGGTTTGTGCACCTCGAACCTCCACTTGACAGGAAACGGAGTTCCGTGAAACATGAGAGAGTGCTGAACGCTGGTGCCAAGCTGTCTACGAGGACGGGACCGACGTTAAAATAATCCCTCTTTCCCTATGGTGGTCTGAAAACTCCCTCCATTCCTTGTTTTCGTTACTTGACACCCTTGCAAGTGCAGCTTAATCATTTGCAAGTGATCAGTCACCGTACGTGTCATCCTACGTAGAAGATGCTACTTTTAGATATTAAGAAAAGCATTTTGAATTAACAATTTAAAAAAAAGTATACAGCAACAAATGAATTTTAATTACGTTCTTTCCCATGTTCATCATCACCTTGCAATACTCACGACTTTATATTCCATGATAAAGTTCCCATAAGAAGGTTCGGTTATGACAGAGTGAACTTCTGTTCGATATAAATCCGTAGTTATCGCCTGGATTTCTCATTAACCACGAAGAATTCTCATGCGATGTTACTGGGTCGAAACTGAGACATCGACACCCACATCAAGTATACACAGTGTCCCTTAATTACAATTATTGATAATAATTGTGAAATTTAAAAAGCAGATGGCATTAAATAATTTGTATTCATTGCAAATGTAAGAATTATTAATATAAAAGATAAAATAAATTTGCAAAAATCTTCTTTAGAAATTCAATGTTTTATTGCATAAGAAAGACCAAAGCTATCCTTTATTATTTTCTATCGCAAAAATCTGTTATACCTCTTAAGCTACACAAAAATATTTTTGAATTTTCTTTTCTGAACAAAATGGCAGAGCTGGAGCTGCCTCAAAATGGCTCTCCCTGAGAGGGCACCCTAATCGTGAGACAGGTGCAGTTACGCCATTTCATTAATTAAAAAATACCTTCGTATACCTTAAAATACGTACAACAAAAGACCTGCAACAGATTTTCCATAATTTCCTATAAAAACTGTCTTCAATTTTTCAGAATTAAAATTTAATAAAAGCAGCACAACTTTGCATAATAGCTGATAATAATTTTCCTTATATTGAACAAACATGCTATAAAAATATTACGTTATAAAATGTAGGCATAAAATAACGAATGAAAAGAAGAAACCTAAAATGAGAGGTTGCGCAACGAAGATTGCACGTATCTCTATCCAGAATCTAATAGGAAGCATTTATCTTAGTCTCTTTTGTTTGCTTACATATTTAATAATATAACATAAACTATGTCGTAATTATTTTCATCGTTAATTTATTCCAGAATCCAGAGTCCTGGCGTGGTACGTCGAAAGCCGTTTACCACGTTATCGTACGTTATGTCGTTATTATGTGTAGTTAAAGCTTATATACAATATCATCAGGTGTATGATTATCCCGTAGACAGAAGTACAAGCGATTATCGTACGTTGTCTGTCATTACGTTTCGACGTTCAATTAAGTCCCGACAGTCAATCGTTATTTAGTCCGAAATACAAGCCTGGGAACAGTTAATTAACGTCTTTATCGTGTAACAGCTTTCTTTTCGCGGAAAGTGTTATTAAAGTAATTGGTTGAATGGTCAGTTTGCAGTGTTCCATCGCATAAACATACGATACCTTAAAATAAAAAGAAAAAAAAAAAAAAAACAAAGAGCATTATACCTCCTTTGTTTCATGTCAGAATTATCAGGTTGTTGCATATCAAATGACAGATTTCGAAAGGTAGAAAGTCTAACCCGATTTGATGAGACACAAAAACATATAAAAATGATTATATTTAAAATTCGTTATACGATATGGGGTAACCTAATATTTTAATTGTGAACCTGTTTCGTCTTGTTCGAATACTTTTTCGTTATCTGTGTATATATTGTTCGTAGAACGGTCGAGTCATCGCGAGGAAGGAGTAAAGTTCCTCGATAGAAACAAGGACCCGGCATAATGAACCATACCGAGTTTCGTGTGGTCCGCGAATGTTGCTAAGTAAGGGATTGATTCACGGGCAGTTATAATACCGCCAAACCAAAGCCCTAATAGATTCAGGTCAATGCCACTACCGTTCTTCGAAGTCGTTCATTATGTGAGAAGAGAAGGCCCCGTTCTCATGCCACACAGGTTGCAATACCTGCGTGGCAGGCCTCCTCGAAGGATTCGCAACGAACGCGTAGATACAAATACATTCATCGACCCTCGACAACTATTCGGACCATCTTTTATTATTTATTATTTATTCACCTTTGATGTTCTGTACAATGTGTAACATGAAAATTGTATTAGATAGAGGAAAATTAAATGGTGTCGAATGGAGCGTCGATGATGTATTTGTTATCACCGGAAGTGGAGGCATTTCAAAGATTTTATTTTTTTAAATGGAAAAATTAAATTGAAGAAATGGTTTTAATTAAGAAATAATACAAGGACTGAATGATTATGGTATCTATGTACAAGACTCCTCAGGGTCTTTCTAGGACTACTTTTTAAAAATGTTTCTTTATTTTAATTAAGCGATAATTGAATAAAATTATAAAATCGACAGAAATCAAATCGAGTTACCGCCGTGATGTGTACAGATACAAGCATAAATAGAAATAGTGATTCAGACAAGAATAACCATAGACTGATTCAGAATGTTCAAAATTAACTTCCTTGGAAATAAGTCAATACTTATTTTGGACCATTAAAAAGCAAATATATTGATCGCTGGAAAAAAGGAATAAGCATGATACTTTTCAGTGACAACTTAATAAGTTAATTAAAGCTAACCTGTTAAATTGATCAAAATGACAGGTTTCAGGTTTCATATTTTAAATTTTCATTTTCAATTAAAAAGTTAGCATGCATCGAACGCGGGTAGTTCTACTGTTAATTTAATCAGTAGAATCCAGTAAAATCAAGGGTAACAAGATTATAAAGAAAATGAAGCAGAGCGCGGTATGATTATGGCGTACCTGCTGTCAACCCGGTTTAATAGGTGGTAATTAATGTTTTTAACAGTTTTCTGGATTAATATTTATGACAAACAATTTGTATATTTTAATAGAATTAACAAAGAGCCATTGAATTCTTTCTGACTGAAATATCAATGAATAATTTTGTTTATATCTATTTTAAAGCATATAAAACAAAAATCAATCACTAGCACACTTTACATAATTATTGAAACTGTGTATTAACTGGCATATTAATTGGCATTTGACCAAGGTAAAAAAAAATAAATATTAAGAAAATGAAGAAATTTAATAACCCTGAGTAACCCTTTTTTTTCTACAAAACTATCAATTACCCTTTTATATCAATTAAGAAAAAAAATTGAAACTTCCTGTAATTAATATTTAATTACACCAATGAAAATGATGGACCGTTTCGAAACAGGAATACCAATGATGTATTCGGTGCAAGATTGTTGCAGGTTATCCTGTAGAAGAGTAATTAAAGTGATTCAATGTTCGGTCAATCGATCGATCAAAGTTGGTCGAAATTCTGTGGAAAGCAATAAGAAGTAAACGAAGGAAATCAGAAGAGACATCGAGCCTGAAGGAAGGAGGCTGGTATCCATCAGTGGCAGGACCCTTTCCGAAGTTAATGATTCGATCATTGCGATGGGTGGTAGCAGGGTGGTGGAAACGAATGGCGTGGGTCGGCGTAGTAGGAGAAGTGCCAGGGAAGCAAGAGAGGAAAGTATAAGCCCGATCTCAGTTCGAACGGTTCGCCGCGATCGGCTTCGTCTCCGGTTTAGTTGCTTCGTTGCGCGGCACGATCGCACACGAAGAGATCCTTCCGCTTACTTTGTCAAGACGTTCCGTCCGATGGGATACGGCCGCTTCCGGCGGTGCTTGCCGCCTCTTCTAACATACGGAAGTCCTTCGCCACCCCCGATGACTCTACCCGTTGGCTCCTGTTACACCGTGAAATCACGCGTTCATCGCTCGTTGCCAGCAGTCCTCAAAAGTATGTATAGACGCTCTGTACAAGAAGCAAAATGATCGTGGCCATAAAAAGTGAAATTTTTAATACCGGTGTAAGTCGACTTTCTGAAAAAATTAACATATACTTTAACACGATCTTTTTATATATGAATAATTTATAATTTTTTTTAGTTAGTAATGTAATTGGACACTTTTGAAAATGTTTAAGAAAGTATGATATTTCAGATAAGAGGAATACAATAATATAAAACTTGAGGGTGAAATCATGGGGGTGAAACCATCCCTAAAATCGTTTTCTTATTCTTTTTTCATTCACAGATACTATTGTTACCCTGATTTTTTCATATCTTTGTGAGCAAGTTATTAACAATAATATAAATTTTAAATATTTTCATTTTGTTTTATTAAATTTTTCAATTTTTTACTTTTTAGAACCTTCTTCTTATTTCGTATATAAATTTGGTTGAAAATTAATGTGTTATTAAGAAATAAATTCTTAGTACTTAATCACTTTGGTTGACCGGTATTAACATGCCACTTTAATTTCAATCAGCTCTTTTTGTTTTCGATAAAGGTATGCTTTCCGGTTTATGTGAAAGCAGGTTTCAATTCTTGCAATTGGAAAGTTTGCAATTTTCTTGTTTTCATTAGATGTTTATTAGATTCTATAAATTTCGATAAACATCTCGTAAAAACAATTATGGTTAATCTTATGAGTATGAGGGACGTATATCCTGCCCCTTGGAATTTATAGGACATTTATTCCTTTTTGTTGGGGCATATATTTATATATTATCGATGGGTACAATTGTTTAATTTTTAATTATTATGGCAAATAAATAATGACAATATCTTTTGATAATGACTCAACCCTGGAATGGCGGACCACGGAGAGAGCCCCAATTTTAATTTAATTTTGCATTTCATATTTTCATTTTTTATATAGTTTCAAAAAGAATAACAATTATCATTATTGTTAAACAACATTATTGAAGATCGAATTATCACGAAATGAATCTTTTTTTGATAGAATGATACATATGCAATTTAAAGGATGATGTGCAGTTACATTGTAATAAATGGGAGAACAAGTTTCAGATGGCCAATGGCCTGCTGTGAATACAAAACACATTGTCATCGATATTAATTTGTAGCTGATACTTCAATATCATCTTCTTGTTCAGTATCAATGTTTAATAATCATCAATACCTTTTAAGACTACATGAGTCATCGATGGCCCATGATATTGATCAGCAGCACAACCTCAAAGGGTTAAGCCACCCTGACCATTTAAAAAAATACTAATATTTTAGTATCGAAGTTTATATAGTAGATCTCCAACAAAGCATTGAAAAGGAAAAAAAAAAAAGAAAGATGCTTTAATATCGAAGTAACGGGAAACGATCATAAAGAGGTACATAAAACAGAAGCATTTCAGAAGCACCGGGAATCCATTTAATTTCTTATCGTCGTGCCATTACAAACCACGGTAAAGGCCACACGATAATTGAACCGGTTTTTGTAAAATACCTCTTGCCTACTTCCTCAGCGAATTTCACTGATTGAAGGTCCTTGTGTTGCTCAAACGAATTCATTAAGGTGCTCGATAGTCAGGTTCAAAAATTAAGACATTTATAAATATGACGAATTCAAGTATTTAATTATAAATTGGATAATATTGATGGAATTATTTAAGTAAATGATATATTGAGAGTTAATGTAGAAGAGCTGTGATGGAGTCGAAAGTTATTCATCGGTCCAACGAGACATTTCGTGTAAACAGAGCAATGTTTCGACTTGGACAACTCAGATTTCGCCACTAAACACGCACCAAGTGCAACGTGAGTGAAGCAAAAGCCACGAAGAGAAGTTTAGCGTGTTAATCACGCATATCGTTCGACGACTACGTGATCAGGGACCGGGTTACCACGAACGTATGGCATTTTCGCCACATGTGGCCTGCTACTACCGTGAAACCATAGAGATCTCACTAATTTATGCGTCTGATCCGTGTTACACAGGTTCTCAGTGGATTTCAATATGTGTTAAAGGTTAATTACTCTTGGTCTGGTGACACTGTTGCATTTAAAACAGTTACGTCAGTGTTTCTCAACTAACCCCCTCCCCCAATGGGGTCATACAACACTTCAAGGGTGGTACAGCCCAAAAAATCAATCAAGAAAATCCATTTTGTATTTTTAAAATAATAAATGCAATTTTTAATGTTTATTTCTTGGTTTCTTTTTTCCTCAGACAACTATGATTGATGGGGGTTATAGAAACATGTGAAACTTGAAAGGGAGCCACAAATCATGAAAAGTTGAGAATCTATGGGGTACATGTACTATTGAATTACCCTTTGCTTGGTAAAGATTCTTTGAAAACTACCTTTTAATAAATATAGTTGCAACAAGCTCACTATCTATTTTTCTTTTAAATTGAAAAAAGAAAATCTTTTGAAAAGTATTTAAATTATTTTTATTTTCTTCAATATCTATTTCTACTACCCTTCTCTGTTTTGTATCTTTATATTTTAGAATGTACTTACAAAGTTGATAATGGTAATGATTGCACACCCCTTTTATTTTATTATCATTACTTTTCTTAGTGAACGGTAACATAATCCGTTTTAAAGTCATGGCGTTTTGTTCTCCCGGAGGTTTAAATTTGTACCACAGTGTCATTCAATATCGCCATGTGTTTTTTACAGAATGGTGGCTTTGGTGGTTGCTTTTACCAGGATGTCTTGCCTCGTGGACAAAGTACATTGAAGAATACGATTCCATCAGAGTAGCTAGATGCGACGCTTATTGCGGTAGTAATTATCCGGAAAAAGTAAGTACAACTAATAACATTAGAATATTTTTAAAATTCAGAAAATGAAAATAAGATGAAACACAAGATTAAATTAAAATTCGGGCTTTCTCCATTTTAAATACTTTAATGTCTAATACTCCTTATTTTATATTTTTCCTTTGTTCAATAACGAAGTTGGAAGAACCAATTAGAACGGATGAATTGATATATTTGCATTTTGTCCTGTCACGTTTGCTAATGTAAAAGAAATAAATGTTGTACAAGTTGTTTTTTGGTTGCATGGTGGGACGATATGTTGCATAAATTTGATCGCAATCTCAGTCTCTTCATCATTTCGCTGTCGGCGAAACATTGTCGTTTCGTGTATGAGTAGCACGCAAGAACATCGTAAAATCGAGTGCAATATTAAATGAAGTGCGTTGTTGAGCACTTCCAGTCGCAGAAACGGACACGCGAGTGTACTGTGAAAAAGTAAGAGCAAATGCTCCGACTATCGCCAATTGGCTGCTAACTATATTCGAAGAAACGTATCTTGAATGAACTTTAATTTCAATTCTAATTTCAATAAAATCGAATTTATCTTCCAAACCGTATGTTCTCATTTTCATAAATTTCGTTAAAATATAAAATCGATAAACCGAGCTTCGAAGAAAAACTTTCAGAATTCATTTGAACGGTATTAAAAAATGAAGAAGAAAAGATATATTGGACAGAGATGGTGATCTGATCGAAATGCAAAGCTTGTAAGATCGACAGATTTACGGAGTAAGAGAGCCACCCTACTTTGGACCCTGAGGAAATCCTCCTTTAGCATGCTGGCGTATATTCTGCCGCCCCGCTGCTGCAATGGGGGTATACATCATTCGAACGGTCGAAGGAACTGGTTTGCTTACTTATTGGCCTACTTTTTACGAGCAATGTAACTACAATGTAGCTCTACCCTCGTGATCGCATCGTTCAGGCCATTGACCAGCTATAATATAGTACGATAAAAGGCACCTCTAAGTATCATTCGCACCCCTTTACCTCCGACTAATAAGGACGACTTCCTAAATTGCTATATTGGTAGTACCATTAACTGGTTTCCCTGAAAATTCTTCAATTGTGCCTACCAAGATATCACTTGTTCTTTACTCTGTTTCAGTGCATGGAGAATTGCTTGGCATCCAATTACACGAAACCTGGTTACTGCCCTGATAAGGCGTCCATGTCACTCTTCGAAGCTGTTTGCTTAGTGGCATGCACCGACGATTCCCGTTGTCCAGACCTAGCAAAATGCTGCAGACACGATTGCGGTGTCACTTGTATGCACCCCCTTGGCTTAGACAATAGAACTGGTGTGTGCGGAATTGTTCACCATTTCGGATTTAAACCCTATAAGTTTATTTTGCCTCGATTCTTTAATTGATTGAAATATTAACAAATTCATATCAACAATAATTTATAAATTATTGTTTCCAGATCTACCTCCAATTCCAGAGAATCTCCAAATCAGACAGCAAAAGAACAACTTGGTTCTTTTAACTTGGCACAACTCTAAAGGACAATGCCTTAATTCGTCGTCTTTAGATAAGAATATTAGGTACTTGGTGGAAGAACGACATCTACTTGGACCAAGGTATCTGGAATCCAGATTGAGTTCCTGGACGGTTCGACACGTTTCGACAAAGTCCCATGCAACCCTTCGTGAACGATTGAAAACTGGACATTGGTATCAATTTCGTATAGCGGCTATTAATGAAAATGGATCCCGGGGGTATTCTCAACCATCGAGGCCTTTCAAAACTAGAGGTAAGTTATAATGAACTCCATAATTGAATCAGTGGTTAGACATATGGCTACTGTTGGGAACACATATGGCACCCTAAAGTTAGGATTCCATTAGAGATAGAGGGCGCCACTAGTAGACGCTTAGTTAGGATAGGTTTTATAGATAATATTTTTCCATAAAGAGCATTACTTAATAAAATTCTGAAGTAATATTTACTTGTAGATATACATCACTATATTTCAATTGAAACACAGTTTCATTGTTATTAGACCGTTCTAACCTTACCTTGCTTTTAAGAACAATAAACATACCGAGTATGCTTGATTCAGAATCTAAAATGTTCGGTCAATTAATTACATAACGCGTGAAATGAATACGTGTAACTGTTATGTATAAACCAGTTTCAGTCTTACCGACATGAAGGTTGGTAAGGTTAGGTCAATGCTTCGTACACTGGACAATTTGCATTCTAATTTGCTGCCGAAAGTCATAATGGCTGTTGCGTGTAGTAAGGAGGTGTCATAAACGCACCATTTCTCATAGAATGCATCGTCAGCCACTGCTATACTCTAATTAAGAAAAAAAAATAATTATCTATATTAAATTCCCCTATTAGTCGCCTCTTACGACAGGCAGGGGTTACCGTGGCCGTATTCTGATCCCCGAGCCACAGGGATTATAATTACTGCGATAAGAATATTTTTAAGAAAAATTTGGCTAGATTGTCGAAGACACCTTACCGCTTCGAATAATTCTTGAATCGAGAAGCACAACATGTACAGTTGAATCAATGCACCAATTGAGTACGACATGATCAGATATTTTTCCATTTCTGTCGCAGAAGCCTGAAAATATAATTCTTTATAAACAGAGCTTGTAAGTGGAAAAAGTGAAATATATTATATGTACCATTAACATAATGCTTAGGAAAGAGAACCGAAAAACATTGTTTATATAAAGAACTCCGATGTTAGGTGCTAGGACCTTCTTCAGTATGGTAGCCATTCTACAATAATTGTACAAGTACCACCATAATTTCTGTTAATTCCATAATACTGTCCCAGATCTAACAGGAATAACTGATAATTTCAATCCACAAACCATATTTACTTAATTATACTTTCGTAATGACAAGTCAGCATCCTCATCTCCTGCTTAACCTTCTGCTCCTCCTCCCAAGACACGCTCTGCCAAACATCATCCTCCACATTTTTTAGGTTATGTCGAAGAATCATTGCGAATCTGATCCTCAGATACTTGTACTGTGCTGTCATCAACCGAACCAAGTGTATCATATAAAGATCGAGACTAACTTTTTTAGCAATGGCGTACGTGCTACCCATACACACCAACATTCCACCTGCTAAGAACACGTTGACCGAAAATGGCTCTGCAGAAAATACAGCAGGCACCCTATAATCCACGTAATAGAATTCTTTCCGGGTCATTTTAACGAACTGCAGAAGTATCCAAATATTAACAGAACCGATGCTGCCAATAGTGTACATCTTCAATACCTTCTGCAATGGCTTCACTGTTTCCATTGTGATGGTTCTTAGCATCTCATCGCCTTCCTTCAAGGTCTCATTCAGTTGCTCGATTAATTGTCGTAGAAGGTTTTTACGACTGTTCATATAAACACTTAGTGTAATGGCTTCCACTGTGACCGCCATTGCTACAGTGCTATCCTTCAGAGAGTTCTCTGTAGGCACGTAGTGGATCCCGAGAATGCAGGCTGTTAAGTATGACAGCTGTATCATCCACACTATCACCCAATAGATCTTTAAATTAATGGGTAGATTTGTTTTCTTGCTGGTTACTGGTAACATGTTCCCAGAGATTATGTTTATGAATGCGTTTAGGCGACTTAGAGTTAAAAAATTCATGTTTTTCAGGTAGAATTTGATGAAAGATAAAAATTTTCAATTTTCAATTTCTATGATAATTAATGATTTTATAAAATAAATTTACTTTGAATTTAATGATAATTAATTTTATCATGTAAGATACACTTTGTTTATTTAAAAGAATTTAATAAACTTTTTAAGTCAGAGACGGATTATCAGGAAGTACTGCTTATCGCTCCACAACCATCTGTTTGTCAATTTCTTATTTCCACTGGCAGCACCATAGTCTGTTGCATTAAAGATATGCATCAATTTAAACTTTCCTTTCAGTATAATTATTGGTCAGTGCGGTCGCAGTTTGATATATGGTCCTTTAATCATAGTTCTCCAATCAAAACAGCTGTAGAGGTAGCAAATTATCTTGAAAATCGAACTAATTACGGAGAATTATCGAATCATTTGATATTCCGTTTGAAGAGGAATTTCAAGCACTTACCATTTCCAGAACCAAGGAACCCTAAAGAACCGCAGAATTTAACTTTGTCCGATGCAAGGTTGGTCGGTGGAAAATTGCGAATTACTCTCAGATGGGTTAAGCCAGCCTCGGACGTGCCGATAACATTCTACAAAGTATTTTGGAGCCGCCTTGTACACGGCCCGACCAACGATTCCATTCTCGTTTATCACAGGACGGTCCTGAAGGTGAGTTTCATCCTTAGAATGTTAAAAATTCACTTTCTTTCTGAAATTGATATAAAATATTTGAAAATAGTTTAATTTTTAACGTTCACGAGGCGTACACATCGGGGCAACGAGGTCTCTTTTGGTTAAGCGAAGGGAAGGAGCCTCCCGCCATATACCTTTGGTCTAATGAATAAATTATGGCAGTTAGGGGGACATTTCCTCCTTTATACTTCTTTTTAATATCTTACTGTAATTATAATTTCTAATAAATTTTCCTAATGATTACCCTTTCAGGACAAGACTTGCTACGAACTGAAGAACTTGGAACTGAAGTGTCAGTACTTTCTTCAGGTCCAAGCGGTCGCCCTGTACGGAAGTCGTCGATTGACATCGCGTAAAGCTTCGAAAGTCTTCAACAGCACCGACTACATGGCATACGGTAAGATGAAACTCGAGCCCACTGTTCTTCGATCTGCTACTCTGATATCTCTGCCAAGCTTAATGATCAGGATAACAAACGAAGAAGTGCCCTTTCATTGAAGCCAACGTGGGGAGACGTTCTCGCAGGTGTGAGCGATATCAAACCGGCCTTCATGTGCGACGTATGACCTGCCACTGCGAAGAGGTCAAGGTACGTCTGGTTTGGCCAACGAACCGTGATGTTAAGGCATACAACGTATCCTGGAGGGAGGAGTCCTGTTCGTCCTCGCAGGAAAACCATGCAGCCCATCGGAAGAAGGTTTCGTGGAAAGTTGTCCAGGTATCGTTGAATTTTGAAATCTTTTTAAAATTATTTTTATTCTCCATTTTATTCTCCCCCTCTGACCATGTTTTTTGAAACGCCCTGTACAAAGCGCGGGAAAAATAAACCTCGTTACTGGCAGCACTAGTAGTGATTAGAAGATATAAAAGGACATCTTTAATTTGTTATTTTCCCTATAGACACCACATTTGGACATATGGCGACTCCGAAGCGAGTGTACGTACAACGTGAACGTACGGAACATCTTCGACGACGAAAGCAGTGACAAACATGGCACCAGCATCGAGTTCTTTGCTACCGGTTGTCAGAAGGAGTATGATCAGAAGGAGAAGAAATATTCGAAGGATAAAATAAAAGAGTGTAAGAATAAATCGTTGAGAAGTAAACGGTATTTTACTGGTCTATCACTGATATAACGTGAGTATGCGATGATTCGTTCAGGTGCTTGAAGTGCAAATGTACAGGTTGACTCAAAAAAAGATGTACATCGTAAAAACTGTAATAAAAAAGTAAAATTCTCTTAATTTGGAATCTGTAGGTTTATTTTTAAAGTACAAAGTGATTCAAAATTGGTGGTTTGATCTTTAGATTTAAAATTTAAACAATTAAATTAACAGCTGAACAGTACTTACTGTTCGTCTAACATAAAGTAGATCTACGGTGTCCTTTTAAATTTTTCAACCATTCGTTTTCGAACACCCTATATTTGAGTCACTTCATTCAATAAACACAACAAGACTGATCACAATTGTACTCAATTAAATATTTCTATTATTTTGAGTGCAACAGTTTACATAATAATAAACTGAGACAAGTCAAGAGTAAATTAGATGGGAGGGTGGATGCTGCAGAATACCCCTCCAGATGATGGTACACTGTTCTCCCTTCAAGAGGCTGAGTTGGTCTATAATTGAAGCATAACGTGCCATTTTCCGTTCCAACATTCTTAAAAACATTTAACTATAAAAAAATTAAACAAACATTTTACAACCCTTTTGCAAGTAAGTACACTCGCGATCAAATCTAGCTTCCCTAAGGAAAATGGCGATATAGAGGAAGCAGAAAATATTAATGTTAAAAGTGGTTTTTAATATTAGATTCATAATGAAAGTGAATCCATATGAAAATCTAAAATAAAATTCTTTCGAAAAAGTTTAGAATTCTTAGCTTTTCAAAAAATTGCTTTATTGTGAAATTTACCTGTGCCTCTGAGATCGATAGTTTCTCAGATAAAATGAACCACATTACAGATTCCTGACATCCTGGAGTGGTTAAGGAGCCATCATAATGATAATAGGTAGTGTGGTCCTTTGGTAAGAACCAGGATGGTAATACCATAGTCCCCTTTATTCTTGTGCTTTTACCCACATCTTTTGAAACTAATTCCGTTAAATTTATAACTGGCATTATGTCCATATTGTCTTCGATGCTCAACTGAAATGAAATATACTTCATTATGGTAAGGATAGCCTGCAGGTGTGCAGGCAATTAAAAGGTGACACTTTAATTAATTATGAATATACAAGGTGTTCCAATTTAAATGGTCCACCCTGAATAATAAAATTTGTTTGTGGCAGAAGTTTTTTTTAAAGAAATAATTGACGTACCTTGAATAAACTAGCAACCACAGCAATACCCTTATCATATTGTGCTGCCATACTAGTATTGTGATACTTATTGCTATAGTGCACAAAATGTACCTCTAAGACATCACGATTCACATCTACAGTGTGCTCAGCAGGCCAATGAAAATGCATTTCTTCCAAAATGTACGAGTTTGGAAGGTTTGCTCCTTCCAAACGAATAGGTGCAGGACGTATTTGTATTTTTACTATAATACAAATCAAAGAGAAAAGAATGTTTCTAAAAAAATCATTTGATACGAGGCACTTGAAACTAAAGGAATGCAAGGGACATTTTTTGAAATTTTTTAAAATTTGTTTAAAAATTAATACTGTAAATAAAAACACCCATAAAAATACCCACTCAGTTTCAAATAAAAAACTTCCACTTTTCTAATTAATAATATTTGATTTTTCTTCACATACCAGAATGACCATTATTGGTGACGTCCCCAGCAAAAGCAAAACTGTACTTTATAAATTTCAGTTCACCGAGATCCGTTTTTACAGCATCTTCAGTGACAATGTTAATTGGCGATTGTTTCTTTCCTGTCGTGCATAAGCCTGGCCAATGTTTTGGACCTTAAAAAACACAGAAACTTAATAATAAATTTGGCAATAATATTTAGTGTCATTTTTGTTAATACACGTTGACTGTCACATCATCCATATGTGGATGGCACTTGAATTCCCATAGGAACCAATTACCCATATGGGGTAACAATACCAACAAATGATTACCATGTTCACCCGAATAACTCCAGTCAGCTCCAGTTGCTGTATATAAACCTGAAACGAAATGAGTCTTTTAATTAAAAATTCTGTTTAAATGAAATCATAAAAATAATTTTGTCGTACCACATCGTTCTTGTGGGTGGGAAAATTCCGGAAGGAAAATATTGCAATCGCATTCGTCACGTTACAAACGTGACTGATCAATTATTAATAAATTTTAATCATCGTTAAATTTATATAGGTACGGTTGAATGGTGGGCAACTATGAAACGTGATTTCTTCGATACGCAAACGAAAGTCCGGAAACCAATGATTGAGTAAATGGAACAAACTATTAGCGTACCACATCCTACTGTACATCGAATTGTACGAGGCAAAGGGGAGTAACCATACTATAATTATAGTACTCTTAACCAAAAGTACATGGCGATGTACTTGAGCCTTATAGGGCAATTGTGAAAAAATGTGCACTGGTATATGTAAACATGATAAGAAGATAAGAAAATATAGAAATAGGAAGTGCAATGGATATAAGTGATTACAGAAAAATTGTTAGCGAAATCCACGACCTGTTGCAACTATATAAATGAAATCTTTTTATCTTATTATTTATTGGATCTTTCTTCATAATTTGAATGAATCATCATATGAACTCATACATTTTTATCATGAAATTTCTGACTTAAGGAATATACATCAAATTTCCTCAGAGAAAACAGCGATATAGAGAATGTAGAAATTCTCAGAATCTTCGTTTTCACGATAAGAAACAAAATTCTAAAAAATTTTTATAATGGTTTGATAAATTTTTAATTGTTACAATCGAGCATCAAAAGAATGCCGTTGCTTTTAAATTGCCGCCGGCCGATGAACAATTCCGACGAAATTTAATGAGCACAATGCACGCTTCCGGTTATTAAGCAGGGTTTGTTGTTAATCTATATTTCTCATGAATTTCGGCACATTGTTAACAGAGTTATTTACAAAAAAATGCGATGACAAATTCAAAGGGTAAACAATTAATTCTTATATTGGAAGGTTTCGAAACGTGATTGATACGATTTGATAAGATAAATATACCGCAAAATAACACTCGTAAGACATCAATTTGAAGTTTCAAGTTTGATTAAAATGACTAGTGAAACCTTTAGAAGATCCATTAACCCTCGAATGAAGGACCTGGGTCAATCATTACCCAAACTTATAAAATGTATTCAAGGATATTAATATAAAATTAAATATGTAATTTTTAAACGAAAGAGTTTTATTTAGAAGAGTAAAATTAGAAAATGAAAGTAATATGAAATTCGAAAGGATATTAAAATTGGGGTTCTCCCCATGGTCCGTCATTGGAGGGTTAATTTTCAAATGGAGGAGTTAGAGAACTTGAATTATATGCAAAAAGAAAAATTCTTCTATCTTCCTATAGCATAACATTTTTTATCTATTCTATTATTCTTTATATATTAAAATTTAGAAGATAATACATTTATTAAAATTCTTATCTATAATAACATTTTTTTAATCCCTTTCATTATTATATTAGAAATGAAAATGATTGAACGGTAATGAAATGACTTGAATTAATTCGATTCTACAAAATTTTGCTTCCTTCCTTACCTATGACAGTAACGACAATTATGCATAAACTCTTCATTGTTAAAATGCTACCTGGAACTGTCAGTGCTTAGGATGACCCGATGACACGTACGTGATGACGATGGACATACAACTGATGTACGTGTCGTTAATCTATCTGGATAGCCTCGAGATTACACGAGGCCCTACTACAACGAGATTTACTTTATGCATCGTGTACACCATTGTGGTGGTTACTGTACGTGCGCGAGCGCGCCCATCAATTAACCCCCCATCTGCATTAAAAATAAATCAAATATCAGACTGCAAATTTTGTATTATTAGATTATTCCATAATGAATGTCAATTTCCAAAGATAAATGATTCCATTATAAGAAGTACAAAAATTTTCAAAATCATTATTTTTTCATTAACATTAGATCTTGATTATTTAGAATGTTAATTCCTATAGTTTTTTAAATAAAACAATTTTTAAGTGTAATGTAACTCTGTAAAAAAAAAATGTTAGTGTAAATTATGTTCAGTCTGACGCCCTCTTTATTGACCATCACCACTTTCTGCAACTTTTAAGATGAACATTGTTATTTTCTTTTATTTTTTTTCTCCGAAAAAATGTCTGAAGATACGTGTCTTTTTTCAACCTTCTAATCAAGTACAACCCTTTAATAAAACTGACAAAATTGAATAAAATATTGAAATATTAATTGAAAAAATTATGTTGTCGAATATATACAAAATATTTCATCACTTACATACCAAGAATATCGATTTCTTTGTTTTAATAATGAGAGGACAAATAACAAAAATAAAACGGAAAGAATGCACAAAATTCAAAAGCACAAATTTGAACACAAAACAAACTCCTTCTCTTAAAAATCACAATAATTAATAAATTTGTAAAACTTTCAACTTTGATTATTATTAAATCGGCAACTAAATTCACATCCTTTATTTTTTTCACATAAAATTATTTATTAAAATTCAAAATAGATGAAAAATTGAAAATTTAATTATCAATATAATAAAATTTACCTGAATAAAAGAATGTGAATAAAAATATAAAATATTGCAAGCCCATCCTAAAGATCGGTTTTGACTGATACAACGTAGACGACAACTTGCAGTGAACTGACCTTCCTCAGAAATTTCTCAGGAACATCGGGTTTGCCCGATGCTGCTGTTGAATTAATAGACGCTGCTTTTACTATCTATTCATTGGTGCAAATATAGAAGTAGAATATAGAATATAGAAGTAGAACAAGTTGAATAATGACATGTTGCCTAATCAAATTTTGAGATTCACCAGTCATTGATTCTTGTGCTAGTAACAAAACAAAAAATATGATTTCATAATTAATATTTAAATATCCAAAAGGATCTTCAAATATTCAAACAATGCTGTTAATAAAATTAAAATGTAAAATATGCGATTTTTCAATTATTTCAAAAGATTATAATTACAATTATTTGAAATAATTAAAAATGAATATAATTAAGTTTCCCCTAAGCTTTCGTTAAATAATCAAAATTATTTTTCCAAAAAATTACTACTATAATTAGTAATTAAATACCGATGCCTAATTAAAAAAATTCAAATTTCATAACCAGGCCTCCGTTACGCCAACATTATCGTAGCTAGAAGCGCTAAGGTACGCCTTCGAAGAGAGCGAAACATCGGAGGAAGGAGGGAAGGAGAAAAGTATAGAGAGAGCATGTAACATGAAGCGGCGCCTTCGTACAGAAATAGAAAAGCGGGACGAAAGTCATTTAGTGTCAGCCAACGTGTAGTTTCTGAGTATTGTTGCCCGATAATATAATCTCGTGTAGAAAATAAAATGACGCGTTTCCCGATCAGATCCTCGTTGAGGAGCCGGGATTCGAATTCTACGTCGACCGATCCAGATCCTAGGGAACGGATCAAAGACTGTTGCCGGAAGTTGGTCGCATTTATGTGCACCCAGGTCGGCGTTGGCGGACTTGTGGTCGGTTACGCCATAATAGGAGCCTTTGGTTTCACCTCCATCGAATCTCAAGCCCAGATTCCATCCGCGGTCTGCTCTCGGGACTCGATCAGGAAACAATATGCCGACGAGTTATGGTTAAGCACGGCCAGCAATCAAACCGTGAACATATTCGATAAGACAACGTTCTTCACGGTGTCTAATCAGATCCTCCGTCGTTACCAGGACAACTTCACTGGTAATTATGGAAAAGAGAACTGCAGTGGTCTAAAACCATCTGATCTATGGTCCTTCCCTGCCGCCATGATGTTCTGCCTGTCTGTGTTCACCATGATCGGTTATGGCACCCTGGTGCCTCAGACTCCATGGGGGAAGGCAGTGACAGTCATCTACGCAGTTATGGGGATACCTTTGTACGTACTGTACTTCCTGAACATGGGCAAAGTGCTGGCACAGACATTCCGCTGGTTGTACACCTGGCTCCACGAGTGTACCGGCAAAAGGAAGCCTGGCCAAAGGATCACTGTACCCTCGACCGCTTGTCTGTGGGTCATTTTTGGCTACGTACTCATTGGATCCATCATATTTGCCGAGTGGGAAGGTTGGGACTACCTGGACAGTGCCTACTTCTGCGTCACCTCCCTCTGCAAAATTGGCATGGGGGATCTGGTGCCTGGTTGGACCCACGGTGATCTGACTGCCGACAGTCAGACTAAGTTGATAATTAATTTTGTTTATGTGCTGCTGGGGATGGGATTGATCGCCATGTGCTACGATCTGATGAAAGAGGACGTTTATGTGAAGGCTAGGGAATTGAAAGAGCAGTTTATACAGATCGTCGATGCTGCGCATTATCAGCTGGAGACTTGTTGTAGATCGCATATATCGGATACTAAGTAAAGATACTCAATAAAATATTTTTAATAAAATTACACAGGAAGTTCTGTATACAAAATTATCAATCGATACGGCTACCCTTTCTATATTGAAAAACATGTATTATTTGTAGATCGATTAGATTAAGAATCACGTTATATTTCTACAGTTCTTCGGTTAAATATTCATTACAAATATAATTAAAAATATTTGAAATGTTACAAGATGAATGTGAGTGAGCTGGAAACAATTACATCAGTAGATCATATAATGCCACGAAATGAATTTGTCCTATATGGGAATTCATGGTTTCAATTTCTTTTCAATTTATTTCCAATTCAACGTTTCGATCACCATTTCCTAATTTAATTTGACCATGGAATCTCTTCAAATTTATTCATCACCATTTCCAATTTAATTTGACGATGGAACTTTCAATTCATCCATCACCGTTTCCCAATTTAATTTAACCATGGAATCCCTTTAAATTGGTTCGATAAAGACCAAAGAGGAATGCGCTGATTCAAAATCAAATGACTGAGGCTTCTTTTACTTAAGGAAGTGTAGAGGGAGGAGTATTCTATCATTTGCATTATTTATTCACATTTTTTACTTGTGAAGATAAAAGTTCTCTCTAGATTCTCCCGCGCAAAATTGAAAGCAAATCTACTTCTTTAGGGAAAATGGAGTCATAAAATGGAAGGCAGCTCCCTCTGCACCAGATCTAGGGATATAATATTATATACTATATTCCTAAGTTTACGATATATCACTAGATGAAAAATTAACATTAGCACGTAAGATCGTGTGGCCTCAAAACATTATATATAACAGAATTAAGAGTTATAATATGAAAGGTTGTTGAAAATAATTACTGGTTGCAGATTTAATGATTTAAAGAATAACAATATTGAGAATTACAAATAGTTCTTTCTAAATGGAATTTATTCGATATATTCGGAGGCTAAAAACTTGTGCTTTTTCATTAAGGGCTCTAAACACGTGTTCTCGTCGTTATTGTGCGTCAAGTCCTATCAAAGAACAAGTAGAGGCTGATACATCTGCGCCAGTTATAAATCAAAATACAATAAATAAATTGGAACAATTGTCTTTGCTTAACTTTAACCACGAAGACAGTTTTTCTATTTTAGAAGGTGCAATTAAGTTTACAGAAGATTTACGTATCGCAGAAATCGACGAAAAAGTTGAACCTATGTATAGTCCATCTGAAAAAGAATCTGTTCCTTTGCGAGAAGATCACGTAGAACCTAACGCATCTAGAAAAGAAATTTTAAAAAATGCTGCTGTGTTAGAAGAAGAATATTTTGTAGCACCATTGAATAAAATTTCATAAATATCATCATGAATATAACTCGTGTATTAAAAGAATTAAGCCCACATTTCATTAGTCTTACAGAACAAGGACTTATGTATGGGCCACAAGGTAAAATGATAGTAAGAAATCTCGAAGAGCATTGGTTTTTACATTGTGTTACAATGTCGCCTTATAACATATTCTTATCGGATGAATATAGCGATACCTTAGATTTTATTACTAAGACCGCGACAAGCGATATACCGTTTGGATTAGCTAGAGTGAAAAGCTGCAAAGATAGTTGGAATCGGGATATATTAACTAGATTCAAATTAAACTTACACAAAATCGCTGAAATAGCTATTTTTAACAACGATACAGAAACCAAAGATTTATTTCATACGGTACAAAAGCAACGTAAAATTTGGTGGCGCAGATTAGCTCAATATCCTTCTCGATTCGTACTTACAGAAGTGAAAAAAGCAAAAAATCATGACCTAATAAATATTGAAGCACAATTTCCATTTGGCAATATTACTGTGGAAAGGATAACTCACTATATGGACATTCAAAAACTATTCCCTCAGGTGCTTTTCTTAATATTTTAATTTCTATAACTTTAAGAATAAAAATTATTTATATGGAATATTTTGTTTTCAGATTGATAATAAACAAGTTTCTGAACAACAAATGATTGAACATTCGGTATCTTTAGACTGGGGTTGTCTAGCACTACTTTGCGATACTTATGATATAAGTAAAAAAACTAAGATGCATATTCATTCCAAACTAGCACCACATAAAATTGCATTTCGTATAAAAAGACCAAGTAACGACGCGAACGTTCAAAATAATGATTTAAATCGCTTTGTACTTTATTTAAATAATATGCTAAAAACAAAGGGCATGAATACTATATTAACCACTTCCGAACAAATTATAGATACGTGCTTGGTTCCTTTTATAGTTTTAGTTGATGAGACTAGTCTTGAAAATGGCATTATATATGTAATGGACAGATCGACAACTCTTAGCGAATCAGTTCATATAACCGATTTAGTAAACCATATAAGTATGCGATGTTAACCAATTGATATGGTTTAATTTCATTTGAATAAAATTGTATCAAACATTTAAAATACGTTATCAATACGATTACATCCTAATTTCTAAGAAATATAACAGATTTTGGAAACAATAAATTTGATGACCTTCATTTCCAATTGTTTTATATTTAACATATCACTCATTAAATTATAAAATGGGCAGCTACTTTATCATAATAAAGTTACCGAAAAATCTAATATACCGACAAAAAAAAGGATGAAAACATTCTGAAAAATAAATGTATATAGATGGATTTAAGATGGAAAAATTATACATGAGTGTTTAATGATGTTGAAAGTTTAAGAAATTGGAATGCTATATGCTTAGTAAAATGTATACTTTGTACACAAGCATTCCTCAATTTTCTTTAAATATTGCCAAAATTTATAGAACTCAATCAATAGTAATATTACTCAAACGAGCAATACAGTTTACAAAAGCTAATACTTATAACCGGCTAAGCTGGTAGTTGTAACTTCTTGCCTTTGAGTACTTTGGTAATATAAAGATAAAAGAAATCACAATAAAGAACAGTTTGTACTAAACCAGCAACAATTGCAATTAAGTCATAGTGATGTTCTGCATAGTAACGATAGACCCAGTTTAACAGATACAAGCCTCTGTATGATCCCAAAGCAAAAAGATAATGACTCGTGATACTTTCTGCTTCACCTGTCTTTGATACCAAAAATAATTGTGGCAATATTGCTACAGATTCCAAATAAATGCTGAATGTCCATAGAACTTCCACCACTGTAAATTCATGGTTGATTAATAATGCCAACGCCAAAGTGGGAAGAATTAAAAATTCGATTCTAAAAAATTATTATATCGAATTAAAGACTGTAAGTATCATTAGTTTTAAAACTACTTCCATATTTATATCTATATTATTATACGTAAAACACCTACCTAAATGTATCATGATTATGGTCATATGTAGCTTTAAATTTCACATACATTAAGAAAACAATAGCAAATGATGTTGCAATAAAAATAACTTTCATAAACGTATTATACGCTGAAATGTATGTTGTTATCAAATCTAGATAACGTGTTGTATATACAATTGCAAATAAAATTTGCGATTTGCCACTGATACCTGTAAGATAGAATAGTTATAAAAATAACTCACATTCCATTTATTATAAAATAATGTATTTTATAGTGTTATAAACATAGAAATAATATCGATGTTATATACCGGCACAGCTCCGCGTTTTCCATATTTTGAGAAGAAGAATGATAATCGCAAGAAGATGCGATAAGTCACCTAACAGTCGAAATATGTTCATATTTTCGGTTTTTGAGTGGTAATTTATCTAAGAAAGTCGAGAAATACTTCACACACCTAACTCACAAACCATACAAAATATGACGTGGCTTTGGCTGCAACATCAGCAGATGGCCGACCGCTCAACATGATTTAAGTAACAGCCAATGTTTTTAACATAATTACATAAAGTATAATATATATATGTAAATGCATATATTGTATTTGTTAATTTCAATTCAATGTACCTTTTGTAAGTTAGAAATATATAAAATACAGATATTTGATATAGTAGAATAAAAAAATGTAAATACAATTGGTTAATAAAATATTCTACTAAATTTGATCAAACATCTTCAAATTTATGGAATCCTAATATTTCATATCATTGAAAATCATTATTTAAGATTTTTTCATATTAAATTACTATATTTGTTACTATATTTTTGAATTTTGGTACCAGATTATATTAAATTGACTGATATTTCATGCATTTAAAGTTGGATAGCGTGGGACAGGACATGGACTTCCCGCTATTGTTAGAAGAAATTTCTAACATTCAACACATGCAGCGCTAGTGTACTGTTTTAAGTACATCATCTTTAAAATCACATATCTATTGTTTCTCGGTTATAGATAAAATCGAGAAAGTTATTTTGCGTGTCTGACGTTAAAAAAGTTATATGTTACTAAATAAGTTACATATTCTTATCGCATATCTATATCTGTACTGGTCAATAAGTACTTAAGAGAAACTTTCACCGAATAACCTCTAAAATGAGAACTAGTTTTGTATTGTGATTTTCATGTAACGTGATAATATTTTATCTTCTTTTTATTGTGTAAAATTCATATTTCAAGATGACTACACCTGTAGCTCCAAAGGTAGTTAAAAGAGAAAAATTTACATAGGTAGAAAGTAACTGTACTTCGATATAGGTTATATTATAATCATCGTTTTTCTTTTTAAATAATTATGTACCCAATTTGTAATGATTATTCTTGCATTTGAATATCTTATTGACTGTTACAATGTAATAATTATTGTATATGTTAATTCAATTGTAATAAAATGCAACTTTGATTCATTTCTTGACTTCATTTCACTAATATGTAGTATTTAATAAATGAAACGTAATGATACATACCTGCTGTTGTATTTTTGTTTATATTACTTTTTAGTTTATTATTATACAATCATGTGCAACATTAACTTCTCTTAGTTTAGGAAAAATATAAGGAAAGAAATATACCATTACTTACCTTATTTATGCATATTCTTTATTTGCAAAGACCAGAGGTTCTATGTTAGGCTGTCCCCAGCTCTCCTGATTCTCCTTGCAATTCCTTGGCCCTCTAGGTTCTCCTTAGTTCTCCTAAATCTCTGGCTCCTCCAGTTGTTCCTGATTCTCCTTGGCTCTTCCAGTTGTTCCAGGCTCTCCTTGAGTCTACCAGCTGTTCTTGGCTCACCTTGCCTCTTCTGACTCTTTCCTGTAACAATTTAGAGATGCTTTGTTAAAAATAAAATAATGATTCCAGATTTAACAATTTTGATAGTATAGATGATATTAAATTTTAGATCCAAAAGAAACTGGTACTTATGTATAAAACATTGGACTAAATATCTATTGTTCTTGTATTCATACTTTGGTTGTAATGATTACCTCAAATGTTAAACATAAAAATATGCATATTATTTTATTTTTATGTAAAGAGCTTGAGTAAATTATAAAACACCTTATTCACATTTGGTACTATTACAAATGTAACATAAAAACAATGTATAAGAATTAGAAGAAAAGAATTGAATGTGATTACAATTTTAGGTACCAGTTGCACCCTCTGTACAGGAATTCAGTATTCGAGTACCAAAGTATGTATAAAATAATCCTTTAGTTACCTTATGTCTAATTAGCTGACATTATTAAATAAAACATCATGTTTCAGAAATAACAAAAAGAAGCATAATGTAATGCGTTTTAACGCGACACTAAACGTCGATTTTTCAAAATGGTCCCAAGTAAAAATGGAACGCGAAAATAACATGAAGGAGTACAAAGGAGTGGAAGAAGAAATGCCAAAATTTGGAGCTGGATCTGAGTTTGGCAGAGACGCGAGAGAAGAAGCTAGAAGAAAAAAGTTTGGTATCACTAGCAGAAAGTATAAACCAGAAGACCAGCCATGGATATTAAAATCCGGAGGAAAAACCGGGAAAAAGTTTAAAGGTATCAGAGAAGGTGGTGTGAGTGAAAATGCTGCATATTATGTCTTCACACATGCTTCTGATGGAGCCATAGAGGCTTTCCCATTACACGAATGGTAAGATAATATTTATCAAATACTGAATATTCTAATACATAAAATTTGTACATTTAGGTATAACTTTCAACCAATCCAAAGATACAAAGCATTAAGTGCCGAGGAAGCGGAGCAAGAATTTAGTCGTAGAAATAAAGTAATGAATTATTTTTCATTGATGTTGCGTAAAAGACTTAGAAACGATGAAGAGGGTGCAGATGATGAAGAAATGATAGAGGGTGGAAAGGGTAAAAAACCAGGTAAAAAAGAGAAGGAGTTAAAAATTTCCGAAATGGATGAATGGATGGACAGCGATGACGATGACTCGAATAGTAATGATGATGAAACTAAGAAAAACTCGGAAGAAGAAGAGGATCTTAAAAAGAAGAAAAAAGCCAAAGGTGAATGTTATGCATTTACGTATAAATAATTATATGAATGATATAATAATAAACGATTATATTAGCTAATTCCCAGAAAAAGAAAAAGAAGAACGCTTCAGACGATGAAGCATTTGAAGAGAGCGATGATGGAGACGAAGAAGGCAGAGAATGTGATTATATTTCCGATTCCTCGGATTCCGAATCAGAATTGGAACAACAGAAGGAAATCAAGTCTGTTGTAGAAGAAGATGCATTAAGAAAATTGCTTGCATCTGATGAAGACGAGGATGATGAAGAACAGGCGGATAAAAAGGATGGTGATGAAGATAAAGATGAAGATGATGAAAATAAAGAGAAAGAAGATAAAGTAAGATAAATACGATTGTAATTCAATATTGTTTTGTATTAATTTCATAATTTTTTTCAGGATAAAGATAAGACAAGTAAAGATGCAGATAAGAAGAAAGATAAAAAGAAGAAGAAAAAATTAGCTAAGAAAAAAGATTTGAAGAAACTTGGGTCTGGAAAGGATTCTTCTAGCGATTTCTCTAGTGATTCAGGATCAGACTCTGATGCAGTAAAGGAGAAAGATAATAAAAAATCAAATAGTGCACACAGTTCAAGATCTGCAACGCCTACACCTGCTGGAATATCTGATTCTATGAAGAGAAAACAATCTGGTTCTCCAGATTTATCACAGTCAAAGAAATTGAAGTTAGAGAATAGCAATCTAGTACCACTAACTGCTTACATTCCAGGAGCTAGGTATGCTCTAGTAATAATAATTCTATAAATAATAGTAAAATATTTCAATTGAAGAAGATATATTTGTAGGTTAAGAAATGACACTTGCCAGTTACTGATATTAAAAACAAATATCATGAATTGTAATTGTAAATACAATAATTAATTTAAAATATTGATATACTAAATATTTTTGTTTCATGTTACAGTGAATCTGGAATCTCGGAAGATGCGGTCAGGCGTTACCTTATGCGTAAACCAATGACAACAACCGAACTCTTACAAAAGTTTAAATCCAAGAAAACAGGTCTTACTTCTGAACAGTTAGTTAATGTAATGACTCAGATACTGAAAAAGATTAATCCGACCAAACAAACGATAAAAAATAAAATGTACTTGTCTATAAAAACACAATCCAATTGATATGTATGAATATTTTTATAGAATAGAACAATTGTCTAATATATCCTGTAATATTTATTTTACTTAATATGTAAAATACTTTGTATAATCATAAAATAAATTAATTAAAAAACCCATCTTCTTGTTTATTAATAACTTCTTATTACCCTCTATAAGTTACTCGATAAATTTATGATTATATATTAATAATTAAGAATTTGTTATATGAAAGATCTTTTTGTGCAAAATTAATATTCCAAGCCATTCATTTCGTAAGTCATTCAAAACTGTTTTATTTGAATTGCTTACAATAACAGAAATCACATGACTGAAGAAAGTTAAATCATTTTGATAACGATGTGGCTTTGAGTTTATCAGTGATGTAGTAACGTGTACTGACTTTTGCATTGACCTCCCTGACCCACGTAATATCAACACAGTAATACAGAATTACTACTTCAAAATAGGAATGAGCATGTGGTATTGTGGTACATAACAGTCTCTGGGAAGTAACAATTAAATTAGTGGATGCTGGATACGTTCCTCTCTAGTTCAGTTCTATACATTTTATGTGATTATATGGAGAAAGTATGAAGATTTTACAACTATGCAAAAGCCAGTCCAACAAAACATGTTCTTTTTTAATGACACAGACTACTATGTCTTCAGTGCGTTACTTGAATGTAAGATATATATAAATATATTAACAAATTCTCAGACATGAGTGTATAAGAACAACATTTACTTTTAATTAAAAATATTCTTTGCAGACTTTGAAGGGTAAAATAATAGCAATTAGAAGAGAAGATCAATCAGTATGGGAAAGAAGAGCTCCTTTAGCACCCGCAAATGTTCGCCGATTAATCAGGGCAGGTGTCAAAGTAATTGTTCAACCTAGCAACAGAAGAGCTTATCCTGCACACTCTTATCAAGCTGCAGGTGCTTTATTGCAAGAAGATATCAGTTCTGCCTCTGTGATTTTTGGAGTGAAACAAGTTCCTGTGGATCAACTTATATCTAATAAGACTTACTGCTTCTTTTCACATACTATCAAAGCACAAGAAAGTAATATGCCACTGTTGGATGCAATTCTCGAAAAAAACATACGTTTGTTAGATTATGAAAAACTAACGGATGACAATGGACAGAGGGTAGTTGCTTTTGGGAAATATGCTGGTGTAGCTGGCATGGTGAACATATTACATGGACTTGGATTAAGATTACTTGCATTGGGGCACCATACACCGTTTATGGTAAGATCGTTTAAGTTCAGAATATTCAATTTCTGACTTATCACCTATTTAAAATGACAGAGTAAATAAAAATACCTAAGTATTTCACACCCAGGAAAAATAAGAAAGCCTATTAAATTAAACACTTAATTTTCGATATTTACATTTGAAATTTTATAATTTGACTTATAAAGAAGATCTACAGAACTTGTATCTTTCTACTTATTTCAAGGAACAAAACGAACAGATAAGGAATATAAATCAGGAAGAAATTTCAATCTCGCGGTCTTGATTAATTATTTTTGTAAATGATCATTATTTATTTCATATTTTTAAGATCGATAAACATTGAGATTGTATTCTTCTTATCTGGAGTGAGAGGATATTGAAAAAAAAATGGGGGCTTGATTCCATAAAAGTCATTGAATATAATGCGTTAAATGTTCTAGGTTTACGCACAATGTTGTATTCATGTACCCCTAATTTTTCTTTCCAGTGCATTAAATGACGTTGGATCTGACAGAAAGTATATGATCCGTTGGAAATATTCTCGCTCGCTGGGTGAAGAATGCATTTCAACAACGTTTAAAAGATCTGGATACATGATCTATCGGTAGGTCTTTTCTTATTTTTCCTGAGTATAATTATTGCATTGATAGCAAAGTCTCGATCATTCACATTTGATACTTGTATCATTTAACGATGATCGAATTCGATTACGGAATCACCCATAAAACACATAATTTGGCAAACTGGACCATAGTTAATTACAAGCATCATTTTATTTTTTCAGCACATAGGTCCAGCCCATAATTACAGAGATTCTTCAATGGCAAGGCAGTCAATAAGAGATGCAGGGTACGAAATAGCATTAGGAGCTATGCCAAAATCTATTGGGCCATTGACCTTCATCTTCACTGGCAGTGGCAACGTTAGCCAAGGTGGTCAGGAGGTCTTCCAAGAACTTCCTCATGAATATGTTCCACCCGAAATGTTGAGAAAAGTAGCCGAACATGGCGGTAACTATCGAAAGCTTTAATGGCTATATTACCATAATCTGTACAATGGCATCGATTTGATTCGAAAAGAAAAATGTATGTTGAAAAATTTGTATTTATTCTGAAAATTATATTTTAGACCCAACAAAGATATACGGGTGCGAGGTAAGAAGGAGGCATCACTTAGAACGGAAAGAAGGAGGTGGTTTTGACCCTGACGAATATGACAAGTACCCTGACAGATATATTTCCACTTTCAGCAAAAAGATTGCATCGTACGCCTCGGTAATAATCAATGGCATATACTGGGCCGTTGATTCGCCAAAATTATTAACTATACCTGATGCTAAATATTTATTGAGACCTGCTTACACTCCTTGGCTACCAACGAGTGTTGGGGCTCCTGCTTTACCCCATAGAATGCTAGCTATCTGTGATATATCTGCGGATCCTGGAGGCAGTATTGAGTAAGACAACAATTTGATGCTACAAGATTAAATTAATTGTTGAAAAATTCTAGAATTTTTGAATTATAGAGCCTTAGAATTTGGATACTTTTAAAATTTGAGAATTTTACATTTTCTGCAACAAAAAATACATACATTCCGAATTTTTAAATAATTATAGATTCATGAACGAGTGCACAACCATTGACACGCCATTTTGTTTATACGATGCTGACCGTAACAAGGACACGAAATCCTTCAAAGGTCCTGGAGTACTAGTCTGTTCCATCGACAATATGCCTACACAACTTCCAAAAGAATCGACTGATTTCTTTGGAAACCTTTTATATCCTTATGCCCTCGACATTATTAAATCAGATGCAAGAGTGCCATTGGAAGAACACAATTTCACTCCAGCTGTACACGATGCCATAATCGCATCCAATGGACGATTGACCTCTAATTTCGAATATATTCAAGAACTAAGATTGCTGAATCAACGTAGTAAACACAAGGCGGATAATAGTGAAGTACAAAACAAGAAGGTATGAAAATATTCCATATCTAACTAATAACAAACTGATAATATTTTACTAACCGAGTCTATTAATACATACATTATTCACTGTTAGAATTATTCAGTGAAACAATAGATAGAGACAATACTCTCAATGAATAAGAATAAGAATGTTAATTAAAAAGAATTTTGTAATTACAAATTGACCCAACATAAATTAAAAAAATATCATTTAGTATATAATTCTTTAGGGTGCTTATCAAATATAATAAATTACTGTAACACTTGGAGAAAACAAGCAGATTTGCAAAAAAAATCTTGGCATTGCAACATCTGTCAAAAGTTAATTTCCATGTTGACAAGAGATTAGTAAGCGCAAGGTTCGAATAAAAGTTAGATTACTTACGTTGATGATAAGGCAGTATTTTTTTTTACTGTCGGAAAGATTAATCTCGGGGAGAGTTATTCCGTTAGCAGAATATTCCAAACGACAATGCAAGAGAGTAAACATTTTAAAGTATTGTTAACATTTTTTTTCAATATCTATATATTGTTACACGGTAAACTCTCGTTATATTGCCGCTGACAGGACTGTAAAGTGGAAAATTTGTCAAATTTCTAAGCTCTCATTTGAAAGGGGAGGGAACCTTCAAGTACTGGGTTAACACGTTCAGACCTAATTGAGAAAATTTGCCCACAACAGGTAGGCGGTAAATTTAAACGAGGTGATAAAAGGACCATTCATCATCAAAGAAACGTCAGGTGGTCCTAAACGCCAGGCGTCATTCAAAGGGTCCCGAGCCCTAACGATTTAATTTACGACTTCAGTATGCACCTGTTACCCCAGGCTTGAACGTGTTAAGCCCCCCAGGGTTCCTAAAAGTAAAAGTCAATAATGGATGGCTCCTCCTAAAAGTTTACATTTCAATTGTCAAGTACTAACATCCTCAATTAATTAACCCAAATAATATATAAAATACACTGTTTTATGTGAACAGGTCGTTGTCCTGGGTGCAGGATACGTCTCAGCTCCCCTAGTTGAATATTTACATAGGGACAGTAAAATACATTTAATGGTGGCATCTCAATTAAAAGAAGAGGCTGATGTATTAGCAAATAAGTATCCCGGTGTGGAATCAGTTTTATTGAACGTGTTGGAACGACCTGACACTTTGAAGGACATCGTTGAGACTGCGGATGTGGTGGTTTCGTTGTTACCCTATTCCCTGCATCATGTTATTGGAGATGTGTGCATCAAGGCAAAAACTCACCTAGTCACAGCGAGTTATACCAATGAGGATGTCAAAGCTTTACATGACCAGTAAGTGTCAATTATTATAACTACCAAAATACAGCCCCGAATTGGGAGGGAGGGGGGTTATAGCCCTGGGCCCCATTTTGCAGGGGAGCTATAGCCTTGACCTTTAGCTACATAAAAGTAGCCTACATTGCATGGAAGTGTACCATGTAATTTATTCTAATGTTATCAGGGCTGTAGCAGCAGACGTAACTATACTCAACGAAGTAGGATTAGATCCTGGTATAGACCACCTATTAGCATTAGAATGTTTCGACAACGTAAGGCAAGCTGGTGGTAAAATAGAATCGTTTGTGTCCTGGTGTGGTGGTCTACCAGCACCGGAATGTTCCAGCAATCCTCTGCGATATAAATTCAGTTGGTCACCCCGTGGGGTATTGTTAAACACCATGGCACCAGCGAAATTCTATCATGACAAACAGGTATGTATAAATAACAATATTGTGCTAATAATAATATACCTAATTGAATTTGATTTCTACTTCGAAGGTTGTTGAAATTCAACCAGGAGGAGATCTCATGTCTGCTGTCCAGGATTTAGACTTTTTACCTGGTTTCGCATTGGAAGGTTTCCCAAACCGAGATAGCACAATTTACAAAGACTTATATGGGATCAGCAATGCTAATACAATGTTGAGGGGTACATTGAGATTCAAAGGTTTTTGTAACACCATAAGAGCGTTACAATATCTTGGACTCACTGACCCTAAACCACATCCATGTCTACACCCAAATGGTCCAGATATTACATGGGTATGTATACCCAGACCAAGCTTAAACATATTAAATCAGTTAATTATATTTGATTCTTTCTTTGTTTCAGAGGGTGCTTATATGTAATTTACTTGGCTTAGCAAACGACAACATATTCTATGAAAATCTGAAAAGGAAATTGGCAGAAATGCTGAATTCTGAAGAAAGTGTACAGGCAATTGAGGAGTTAGGTCTTCTTGAAGAAGATTTGGTGCTGAAATTAAATACACCCCTCGACACACTCACACATTACTTGTCGAAAAAATTGTGCTTCGAGCCTAATGAACGTGATCTTGTAATTTTAAGGCACGACATTGGCATACTCTGGCCAGATAATAGAAGAGAGGTCAGAGGAATTAATTTAGTGGTGTACGGAGACGTAAAAGGATATTCTGCTATGGCGCGAACTGTTGGATATCCAACTGCTATTGCAGTCAAAATGATTCTTGACGGTATGATTCTAAGAAATATTTATAATATAAATTTAGCAGTGGTTTAATCTTCAGATTGAAGATAAGTTTTAATGAATATCAGAGTATCACAATATAATAATTTTAAATTTAATTATCTTTTTATTAGGTGAAATTCAACAGAGAGGCGTGATTCTTCCATTTACCCCAGACATCTATCGACCCATGCTCAACCGACTAAAAACCGAAGGAATAGAATTCTTCGAAACATCGAAATGGTTGTAATTTAACAACTGATGTATAATATATTGTACATAAAATAAAATAATTTGGTTTAAATAAAAAGATTTTGTACCATGTCCTTTACGTATGGGCTCTTCCTGGCACTCCTAGTTCTTCCTAGGTTCACCCCAATCTCCTATTAGGTTTTTCTAAAATCAAAAACAAGTGGTGGGAGGCTCCTACACCTCAATTTTATCTTTAATCAAAAGAAACTTATCTTGCACCCAAGGGCACCCCACAGCACCATGCTTCATTCCAATTTCTTACATTGCGTATCTCTACGCACTCTGAATGTTGCCATTATATTGTTTCTACAGTTTGAAAAGAGTATGGTCATATTTTGTTTCATATTTCAAAGGTATAAATGTAACCTTGTTCAGGCATTGAAGTCTCAAAATTCATTGGTAACTTTGAGATTCGTGATGTGATGGAAGTTTCAAAAACTCGAAAGAAGTACAAGCACTACACATGCCTCTGTGTTTCAGTTATGGGGCAGAGAAGATTTAGAATATCGGTAATTCATGAAACTTATACATTTTTTTTATAAGGTTTTCAGTTAGTTTACTTGTAACTTTAACTTGGTTCTTGGTGCATTAATAATTTTGTTGTTTTTGGAGTAACTTAACGATTATTGGATAATTTATCGATCGTCACTTTGAGATGGGTGCCCTTATCCCTTCTCCGGAAGCAGGAGATGCATCAGTTATGATACCAAAAATGAAGAAATGTACTGCTATTTCTGACGATACCTCTAAGAGTTTTGTTTCTACATCAGAGAGAAATATAATTAATCGAAGTACTTTGATGTCTGCATCAAATTATGATTGCATTAATGATGCGAAAAATGCTGCGTACGAACACATGGTTTTAATGGAAGATGGTGTTTTAGATGAAATGAGCACTTCTACTATTCACGATCAATGCCAGTTTCCATACTACAGGTTACTATTTCATTGTTAATTTTTTTCAAAAACAGAGATTCGTAGAAGAGATTTATAAATTAATTTTTATGCTACAGGAGTAGTAAAAACAGAGGCAGATTTCCAGATGCAGTTTTGGTAAAGGATGTTGGTGTATCGTGTATGCTTTCAGATCGGAATGCCTCTACTGTACATGTACCTGAAACTAAAACCCTTGTTAAACAACTTAAGAAAGAGTATAACGATATATCTAATATTACAAACAAAATCACTATGTATACGAAAGACATCTTAAGGCATTTAAAGAATAAAAATAAAAGAAAACATCGGTTACTTCAACATCTGGTACTTAACGTTTAACAATTATTTAATAACATACAATTCATGCATTCTATTATGGGTTACAGATATCTTCGAAACATGTAATTGCCTCACAGTATATAGATAATACTGGCAACCTTTGTTTAAAATTAAGGCTTTACAGTAATGCCGAAACACAATGTACTCCACGAAATATTAAAGATGTTGACAATGTATTCAGAGACAAATGTGTTACAAAGAAGCAGCGCTGTAAACACTGTAATTATCATAAATTTATAATAAATAATAAATTATTATTTGATACAGAAGAAATGATCAAATCAAGTTATTAGGTTTATTTATGTAGCTAATAGTCGAAAATCATGTAAAAATCAAACCGCATGTCAGGAAAGTACAAGATCAAAACTTGAGAAGGATATTCAAACAGAAATTCTAAAAGAAAATGTGGAAATAAGTACAACAAATTCATCAGCACCCAGCACTTCGTCCATTTACAATTATTTAACAATGAGAAAAAGGAAAACTCCAAGTGGAAAGTTTAATCCTGTATCAACGAAGCTAAATGATATACATAAACATTGGAATCATAAAAATTGCGGTAGTAATAAAGATCATAAGGAGCATTTAAAAAGGTGCGAACCAGTGATATTTACTAACTGGAAAGAAATTTCAAAATCTAAGCAATCTAAAATTAAAGCATCGTCTGTTATTTCTGATGAATCAGAAGAAATGGTTCGTTTAGTAATTATTGAGTATCAATATACAATTATAGAATGTGTTAATCTTTTAATTTGATGAATAATTCTTAAGCACAATAACGTAGGATATTTATAGTTTAATTATACTTGCTATATTTCTTAATTACAGACAAACACAAAAAAGCCAACATTGCAGAAATCACTGCTCAATTATGATATGATTAATAATGTACCCAATACCATGTTCCATACTATTAATATTCGAATTGTAGAACAGAGTACAAAACATGTATAACTTTTGTATTTTTTATTTTTAGTTACATTTTCTTTTAATAAATATTTTTATACCATTCCTATGTCATTGATATTTATTGATAGTATACTAACTTACATCCCAGCAACCCTTATATCCCTGCAACCCGTACATCTCTGCATCTCTTATATCCCTGCAACCCTGACATCCCGGCTTTCACTGCGAAAATGGTATAGATTTCGCCATCTAGGGGCGAAGTTAGGAACTAACAAAATAGAAAATTCTTTAATAGGTTATGTTACTGAATTATAGGTTAGAAAATTTGTAATACATTTACAAATAGTTATAAAATTTATTTATTTAAAAAAAAATTTTTTAAAATGGGTTTTCCGCAATCCAATAAAGGGCTAGTCTGGAACAAACTAAAGATAAATGATGAAGTATATATGATCTCTGCTACTCAGAAGGATGATACAATTGAAATTTTGTTGACTAATTTTATTCAAATATGGATAGAGAAATTCACAGATAAAATTAGTTTAGACAGATGCCGGGTAATTAACTGTAATAAATAATTTTTAACTTATCTATTAACAAATATACATTACTTTAGGAATTAAATCCACTTCTGAATGTTGAAGCTCTTAATTGTAAAGAAATTATATTAAACATTTTGAATGATATACCAAAACATATTGTTGAGGCATCTCCTGAACAAATTAAATTGCGTGTTAAACTGGAAGGGGGTTTCATGAAATTTGCTCTAAATTTAATAAAAGGAACACCTGAAGATTTTTGGGAATTTGTAACTAAACCATTATGTATATCATCAGTGGAAATTATTCGCCAGCACAAATTTCTTCTAGATTTAGTAAAGAGGAAGGATGAAGAAATTGCTGAATACAAAGCTGAAGGAGCTGAATTGATAAGAAGTATATATTTTTTAAAAATTACAAATACTTTATCTTAGTATAAAGTCTAATAATGTATTTGTTGATATAGAGAATATTGAAACAAAACCTTTTATGGAAGAGCAACTCAGAACAGTTATTTCCAGTGCAAATACTGATGATTACACAAATATGTTTCAAACAATAACAAATTTTTATAATGCACATTTACAGAAACATAATGAATCTTCTGTAAAAAGTAGTGATGATAAAGTAAAAGAGGAACAGAACATTTCTAGTCAAGATGGTGCTAAACCATCTGAAGGTGTTATAAGTGAAGGTTCTACACCTATAAAGACAAAAACTTCACCTTCCAAAAGTAAGAAGCAGAAAAAAAATACAGATAATGATGAAGAAATCATTAATAAGACAAGAAATGCAAATATGGTATACAGGCCTATTAAAAAGTTAAAAAAAGGTGTGCCTGGTTCCATATTGTAAGATAATACGTAGGTACAAAAATTAAGTTAAAATGTAACTTAAATCTAATATTCAAAAGGAAGTACTTTAAACAAAAGTATAGTTACTTATAGGTATGCAGATCGTTCATGGTACTAAAGCGGCTAATTTTAATTGATTATAGGTATAATAAAATTTATTTTCATGGCATCATTTAGAGAATCCCAGAATTATACACTCGGTGGCACTATACTAATTAAATAGAATTTAATTAATTTTTATTAATTGACCATATATTTAGTATAATTAAAACAAATCATGTGAATTTATTGAGCTTTTCTTTCGAATATCGTTCGAATTGTAAATACATTAACAGATTTTATATTGCAATACTATAATTGTACATAAGAAAATTATTTTAAATATGTAAACTGCTAATCAATTTTCTATTTATATAATAGATTTTTATTGGAAAATATATATAAGTAGCTAAAATTATCATTTCTTTATTGCCCATATCAATTCCAGTCGTTCCTTCCTTATTATTTCCTGACATTTATTTATCATATTACATTAAATAAAAGTTATTAATGATGTATAATAAACAGGAATATTTAAACAAAAAACAATAAAAAAAATTCCTTGGGCTCGTCCGGGATTTGAACCCGGGACCTCTCGCACCCTAAGCGAGAATCATACCCCTAGACCAACGAGCCACTTGAGTAAGTACTCACTTCACTAAGAATATAATGGCGGCTCTGCCGGTGATTCAAAGTATTATCACTGTTATTGTTGTATGATAATTCCTCATCATACAGTGCCGTAGATGCAAGATGGCGGATCGAGGCCAACAAGACTTTAATAGGAGCGCGTTGACAGTGCGAGGTGGACGGGTAATTGACGTATAATTTTAATTAACGTATACTTAAAGTGTTCCTTAGGCGGAATCGTAATCCTTGTGTGTTCGGACTATTACACGTGTTTTGAACGACCTAGGCTTGGTACACGGGACAACGGGCAGAAAAGATTCCCGGAGGTCTAGTGGGTGTCGTCGGCGAGGATTGTACAAGTTTAGATCTTTCTTACAACGAACTGTCTTCAATTACCACCGTCAAACATTTTCAAAGTCTACAGGAATTGATACTCGACAATAATAAACTTCGGGACCTCAAGACATTGCCTTGTATACCAACACTGACTACTCTCAGCTTAAACAATAACAAGGTCTGTTATTTCTTTTATTATCTTAAATTAATTGTTTTGATGAATTAAAGATATCACTAATTATTCTGAGGAAATTGTTGATTGAATGTTATGTCGATAAGTTTTGAACTGATGCCTCTTACCTGGTCCCCAAGGCGCCAAATTATTTACATGTGCGCCGTTGTCGCTATATCATGTGTTTGTGCAGATTAAGGTATAATAGTTTACAAAAGTATTTACGCAACGTATCTATGACGAATGCGTTCGACGAAACCTTGAACAAAGCAATGAAAGAGGTCGAAGAATATTTGCTATTCTTAAAATGCTCTAAATAAAAAAAAATTTATTTCATAATTTTGTTGGATTTATTTTTGAACGAAATATCATTTTTTTGTTTATATATACCTAATTTTCCCGCCTTGTATCTGTAATATTTAAGTTCATTTGAATTTAAGTAAACAAAATATTGTTTATTTAGATTTGTCATTAAATTTATAAACTAATAATGAAAAATTGTAAATACGTAGATATGCGCAACGTAATCGTTACGAGAGAATAATAAGCGGGATTAATTGTCATTAATATCCCACATGTTTTCAATCTTTATGAAGCTGTAAGTCGATAACCATTGACAAGGAAAATAATACCTTTTATATCACGTACATAACTGCGTATTTCAGTCGAGACATAATTAGAAATGACTTGCGTGTGCGTAACACGAGGGGTTGAATAATAACTGATAATGTTCAATGTGATATTTGCAAACAGATAAATACGCGATAAATGAGTCTCTCTGATTTTCCCTGATTCTTTATGTCTCTTCTTTCCTTTTCCTGGATTTACGTGGCTCTCCATGCCATTATATCTTTCCCTCGTCTTCCCTAGTCCTTTTTGGCCTTCTGGGTCCTTAAGTCCCTCCTTGGTTCTTGCATTTCTTCCATCTCTCCCAACGTCATTCACTCCATCAGTCTAGGATTAATACCCAAGGTACTTATGACTCTACCATTGCTGTTTAGATAACCGACATAGACTCAGCATTAAAAAGGATACAAGAATGCTGTGCAAACGTAGTATACGTAAGTTTGCTCGGCAATCCAGGATGTCCCGATCAGTTGACCAACCCATCATCCACCGACGAGGAGGATTACGATCGCTACAGACTCTATGCAATCTATGTATTACCACCGACCCTGCGTTTCCTGGACTCGCGTCCAGTTACACGTCAGGAGAAAATAGACGCTGAGAGACGAGGGAAGTATTCAAGGACAGTGAAATTGGTTCCAGAATTGTCGTCCACGATCGTTCCCAACCCCGTGGAGGAAATCGACGACATATTTTTCAATATTCATTACACGCCTCTGCCGACATCTATTAGAAACCCCCTTGATCACAAAGGTACAATTTTAACATTTTATTTTATTTTATAAAGATTGCTAATATGCATTTGTTTCTCTTTGTAATTCAGGAGCATTTGGAAAATGTAAATACCGATATTCTGGAAAAAACTCTGAGGGGAATAGATTTATTTCGAACAACGATCTTTGAACGAAGACTGTGCAGGTCGAAGTATCTTTGGATATAGGTCATGGTTTCTCTAGTGAGCGATAAATGTAACAGTCAGGCCCGTAGAGCAAGTACTGATAAAAACGATGCACAAATTTTTCTTTCATTCGTTATCAATTTTTCATCGCTACAAAAATCTCGTATCTACGCGTCTGTGTCATATAATAGTTATTAATTCCTTTTATATACTTATACACATATATTTATGCATATGAAATAAAGTAATATAGAACCCAAATAAACGTACAAAATTTTTATTATCACGTACACATAAATAATTGTCCGATCCTATTTCCTCTTGATTCGACGAGTGTCACGTGATACCGACACCGTCACCAAACAACGGAAATAGACAAAACGCGCGAGTTATGAATTTTCAACGGCTCTATCTTCCCGCGATCGACTGTATTATTAATTTAATATTATTGGTCCTTATACGTATACAATATGGTTTTTCAACGAACTCGATTGAACAAAAATTGCCCTACATCAGCTTCTCGATACGCGTTTCAACGCGCTTATTCGAACCTTTACAAGAACTTAACGTCGAAGGCAGTTTTCATAGTTTCACTTGTTAACCCTGTATTTAGGAAGAGTCTTACGGATAAGTATACTCGGTGGAAACAGTATAGCAAAGTCGCAAAATTGGAACATTTAATTGTTGAGATAAGTATATTGCAATATAAAAATATAAGTAGGCTGTTTGTGTTTATAGCTCGTTTTTGAAAAATAGTTAGAGCTTTGAAAGACTATCCTCTTCGTAGGTAAAAGTTATAGCGAATAAAGGTGTTATATCTACCTGAATAATTTCTATTATAACGTTAATAAATTTTTCATTTTATGTTAATTATTGGTTCGATCATTATTATAATGTATAGTTTATTGAATAATCATGCTATATGGTTTCCACTAACTATACGTATAGCCAGTGGAAACAGTATAGCCCAAATTGGTTCCATTTCCTTAAAATGAATTTTGAGCATTGAGAACAAACAATTTAGAGAATTTTATCAGGAATCATCTGATACACGATTGATACACTGTTTTTACCGACTATACGCAACGTTGTTACGCTATACCTGTCTACGTACACTAACCGGAGACTCGCCATTGTATAATTAGTTAAGTACAAGTACACCAGCCTTTCAATTCCTTCTGGACACCATTAGTACTTATCAATAATACACGAAATACTAATAATTTCTTTTCCTCGACTTCCATTGCCGATAACAGCTGATCCAAAGCCCCGTGGCCTACCGTATAATCCTACGTAAATGTATAAATATAATATTTATATGAATATAATTCTATGCACTGGAAGCCGGTTATATTTAATTCCTTAAATACACCGTTCCATCATTGTTTGGCAATGCTCAACGGGAGAAATCGTTTCAAGTATTGTACACACTGGAAGCATCTTTCTCACGAAGAAAGGAGTGTCCACAATGCTGGCCACGTCCAAAACGTAGGGCTGAATATACATTTCATAAGTAACCGAGACGGTAGGGCTTGCCAGCGCCATAAGTCGATAAAGAAGGGATTATCCTGCCCGGCAGAGTGCCTTCCCCACGCTCCCAGGTATATAATGGCAAGAACTACTGCCTCGCTTACTTGCCCAATGTAAAACCAGCCTAAGCACCTTTTGTCCTTGAACCATTATTGAATTACTTAATTAAGAGGATTTCCCAGCCTCTTAAAGAGCGCTCGTACGTTTGGAACGAGGCCAGCCAACGTAATTTTTCTCCTTCTAGTACTTGGCCACGAAGAATGCTCATGCATGGTAGTTAGCTACCTTGATTCGCGTTTGGACGGACGCCCATGAAGAATTTCGCCTCGTGACTACTCACTTCACAAGGTATTGCACGAATTTCGTAAATCGTTGTTTCGTTCACCTAGATCTAGTTAGGACCTTGTTCGAAAGTGGATACCAGAATACGATACGAGAATTTTAACGAGAAAAATGAGGATTTAATTATTTGGAACTTGTTCCGTGGTTCTCCTGAAGACCTCTGGTATCCTTCGAGGCCTGTGGAAAATTTGGATCGTGCCATCTAAAATCATCTAAAGGCACTGATTTTTTTTTTCACTTCGAAAGTCACGTTATACAACTTGTGGCACAATTCAAGAGCCACGTATGTACATTTCAAGTTAAACTAGACCGAAGCGTTTCGAGCTTCGTTAAAACGGAGACGTTCGAGGTCCAGTGTCTCTTAAATCTGAAACAAATCACTGAGATACTTAAGAGTTGCCGTTTTTCCCATGATTATGCAAATTCGGCCTTAAGGTCACGGCACCCTCCACCCAGAAATTAGGTCTCTCTAACATGCTTTGCCATAGTGAGAGCTCGCGACCAGTTGCGTCCATCCAGTCCACTGGTTTTCCATAATGTTTTCCTGAAAATTTTGAAAATTGTCTCAAAAGTAACATATTATCAGCATATTCTAATTGTCAGCATATGCATAATTAAATTAATAGCTCGTTCAATAATTCTGCACCTTTGTCCATCACTGTAATAATCAACAATTCAAAAATAATACCTGTGCCAAGATTAAATCGTACACCGCCTAAAAATTCGTTACTAGCGATGCGGTCGTGGTCCCAGACTGTTAATTCCAGTCCACGTTCAGCTAGTTCCTGAAGACTAACGTCTTTATAAATGAATGTGTGACCCCATACTGGTGAACCACCAGATCTGCGAACCACTCCAGTCTTTTGTTTTCCTGAACGACCCTTATCGGGCAGTAAATAACTGAAAACATAAGAAACAAATAAGTTTGGTTAGATTAGGTTAGATAGGACATTACTTCCTCCATATGTATTTCTTTCTAACCAAGGGACGCTTGATACGTTGTGATCGAAGGTCGTTGATCTACGGTCTGCGTACAGTCTTCTTTTTTTTAAAGAAAAGTTAATAATAATTAAAAATGGAATACCTTTTACAGAACGGATCGCAAGTTCCTGAATTCTTCGCCCTAGTTTGCAAATTTCTAGCTTCCTTCACGAGCACGTGTAATGCACCGCGACTCCAATTTTTTTTCGATTTTGATATACCACGATCTGATCCAGTTTCTCGATCGCGTTCCTGTTGCGTAGGATCTGGTGGCACGAATTTTAAACCGACGATCACCTCGCCTTTGTAGGCGACGGGGTCATCAAACGGTTCCGTCTAAAATTTATAATTTCAATATAATTATATTCAATAATTATTATTAATTGAGATAAAATATCTTGAAATAGAATTAAAAATCCTTTGATTTTTGAAAGGAACATTGCGCGATTGTACCTAAATTTCGTAAAATTGTTATGTCAGGCTATTGAAAATTATAAAATATATTCAATTATGGAACTTCTCATCAGCGGGAGACAGTAAGTATATTTAAAGTAGTACAAATTATGAACTTTAAAAAGTTATATCTACAAACTAATTATTTCAATAACTAAATTGCATAATGCAACTACTTCAGAAAATTTTTCAAAATAATTAACCAAATTTAAACAAGTCTTTTTTAAAGATTCTAATTCTCTTTGCACATGCAAGCAAATTATACTACATAATAACAAACGTGCTTCATATGTGCTCTCCAAAATATTAAAATCATTCTCATCAACAACTACTTACTCTTTCCTGAAGCGGGTACCATTTGGGGGTAGGATCATCGAAGATCTTGTTCTCCAAGGGCATTCGGACCTCGCCGAGGAAGTCGTTGCGTCCAAACATGTCTGAGTGCCAGACCGTCAGCCATAGTGTTCTGGTCTCCAGACCGCTCAGACTCATGTGAAACTGAAATATGGTGGCGAACCATCCAAGCTCTAATTCTCATGCAGGACAGCAGGGTACAAGCAGAATATTCATGTATCAAACCTTACCTTCAACGTTTCGTTAAATTCTGGATTCAACGTGTGCTTCTTCACCTTCGTTTTTCGTTTTCCACTCTTCGACTTGTCGGGCAGTAGATATACCTTCACGTACCTGAGAATTTTATTAAATATTTCTAATAAAATTTAAACGATTAATTGTTATAAAAATTTAATGGCGATAAAATTTGAATTTCCAATTATTATAATAAGTTTCTAAAGAAAATGGTTTAAATGCGATGGAATTATTAACATTTCTATTTATTATAAAATCAAGGAAATAGTTTATAATTTATTCGAAGTTTTGAAGATGTACACTCACGAGTTAGCCACAGAGCTATATATACATGTATGCCCCTTCGCTACATTGTCCCCAGGAATGTCTAGGAGGGGGAAGTCTAAGAGAAAGGGTGGGAAGCATAATTTTCTCCAAGGGAAGCCTGCTTTGATCGCAAGTGTACATTTAAGAAAGAATTTATACTAACGTGTAAATAGCTCCTACTAATTGGCAATAACTATTGCAAGCAAGAAGATCATTAATAGACTCGATGACACACGTGATAGTAATCATTTATCCGATAAATTACTTTTTCTTAGGTGAGTCATAGATTACTTACGGATCGGATCGTTTGCGTTTTACGTCAACCGGCGCTAGATTCTTGCATTTCGTTACGTGCACCTCGAAAGTTAGATGCTTGTAGTCGTATTGTAAAGCGAATTCAACTTCTCCTGTCACGACCACCGAGCGACAGCACCGTCCTTCTCCAGCACCGCTATACACCGACGCCATTGAATCTGATCGTGCCTGAAACATTGACATGAAATTTTAGTTAATTTTATAATTGTACTATATTGCTTCCATTGTGAATATTTTATAAAAATGAGAAGATTTAAAATAGGATATATTTTTTGTTATTATTTACTCCAAGACTTGACAATGATGCACGAGTTGCAAGATGTCCAGAATGCAGCCCAGAATCCATATCGTCCACATCGATCACAGTCTGACTAGAGCCTGATCGTGATCCTGCGCCAATAATCGGGGTGCTGCATGCTTCTGATAAGCTACTTCCGTCATCTGTAACATAAAAACAACAAATTATGTAGTTTAAATCAATTAAATAATTTGAATTTTCAGGATCAAAATGGTCTCTTAATAAAAGATAACAGATTTCTAATAAAAGTTTTTTGGGATTTCTATTTCGGGTCAATCTCACATAAATAATGCACAAGAAATAATATCCTCTTGATAAAAATTCTCGTTTAATTATTAATTATATTCAGTGTATTAACTAACTTGTATCATTCTCAGAACCAGTTTCCGAATAGTTTCTTTCTTTCACCTTCGTAACTTGACATTTTGGAAACATTTCTGAAA